GACTATTGGTATAAATGGGTGTTAGACAGAGGGTATACCGGGACGTTCATCGAGCGAGAAGCCGGTAACAATCCTGGATATTTTTCGTGTATGGCGCTGGTGCGTATTGCATGATATTAGTATATACAGGATATTTAGGACATTCACGACGTCGAGTAGAGGTTAGAAATTAGTGCAAATAGAAGAGGCCGACAAATCGTCGTTAGCAGTATTCGGGCAGTTTATGGAGGAAATTCTGTGATCACTTATTGCTACTGTCCAAATTTTATGCGCTTTAGCTGCATATAAATTGATTCACCCTAAGGCTTCATTTATCAAGTATTAACAAAGACAAGATTGCGACTTATTCAAAATTTATGCGGGAACTGAATATATTCATTCAAAAATCGAGAAAATTTGAAGTTGAACAAAGGGTTTTTGTTTGCACGCTGACGGTTTGATCTCATGTTGTAAAGTTTCCAACTATATGATTTTTCGTTAATTTGACTTGGTGAAGAAACACAGAGTTTATTCTTGACCACTATGCTTCAACATGTGAATGCTTCAGCTCATCTGTTGATTGGTGTTAAGGGATAATATTTGACGCTCTGAAGATTCCCCCCTAGGTGTTGTACAAACTCCGGAACCGGGCGCGCGGTGCTGACCGGGCCGAAGTTGTGACCCTTTCGCAATTGGTGAGCATAAAGGGCCGAGGTGTCCGCTACAGGCAGAGCTTGAAAATCTATAAACTCCAACTTTAGCGTTTGAAACTCAGAACAATTGTAATATGTTAAAACAAAGATTCATGAAGCAATCTCTGATTGCTCGTCATTTTTCGGTGTCCACTGTTTCGTTGGGCAAGATTCACGTCCAATCACCAATCGTTGAGATGGATGGAGATGAAATGACTAGAATTATTTGGGCTAGAATCAAAGACAAATTGATCAACCCATACTTGAACGTTGACTTGAAATACTACGACTTGGGCATCGAAGCTAGGGATAAGACTAATGATCAGATTACTATCGACGCTGCAAATGCCATCAAGGAGTACGGTGTCGGCGTGAAGTGTGCTACTATCACCCCAGACGAGGGCCGTGTTGCCGAATTTAAATTGAAGAAAATGTGGTTATCTCCAAATGGTACAATCAGAAATATTTTGGGGGGGACAGTCTTTAGAGAGTCCATCATTATTCCCAGAATCCCTAGATTGGTTCCAGGGTGGGAGAAGCCTATTGTCATCGGCAGACATGCTCATGGCGACCAGTATAAAGCTACAGATCTAGTCATCGAGGAGCCTGGTAAATTGGAAATGGTATTCACTCCAAGCCAAGGAGGTAACAAGATTACCAAGACAATTTATGACTACAAAGGCCCAGGTGTTGGTTTAGCTATGTATAATACTGATGAGTCTATCATTGGTTTTGCGCATTCGTCATTCAAAATGGCTCTTTCAAAGAACTTGCCCTTGTACTTGTCTACCAAGAACACTATCTTGAAGAAATATGATGGTCGCTTCAAGGATATCTTCCAAGACATTTACGAGAAGGAGTATGCTTCTCAGTTTAAAAGCAAGGACTTATGGTACGAGCATCGGTTGATTGATGATATGGTGGCTCAAATGATCAAATCCAAGGGTGGGTTTGTCATGGCGTTGAAGAATTATGATGGTGATGTACAGTCTGATATTGTTGCTCAAGGGTTTGGTTCTTTAGGACTTATGACCTCCGCCTTGATGACACCAGATGGAAAAGCATATGAGTCCGAGGCCGCCCATGGTACTGTCACCAGACATTTCAGACAACATCAACAAGGTAAGGAAACATCAACAAATTCCATCGCATCTATTTTTGCATGGTCTAGAGGTATTGCGCAAAGGGGAAGATTGGACGGCACTCAAGATGTAGTTAAATTTGCTGAAAAGTTGGAACAAGCCACATTGGCAACAGTCCAGGAAGATGGAATTATGACCAAGGACTTGGCTTTAGCGTGCGGCAAAACTAACCGTGAGGCCTATGTTACTACGACAGAATTTTTGGATGCTGTTTCTGATAAATTGAAGACTACAGTTCAAGTCTAAGAGCCTTGATATTCTTAGTGAATTAAGAGACTTTTTATGTAAATACTAGTTGTATACCTAATGAATTATTTTTTATTCTTCAGACTCTTTGTTGATCACTGCTGATGCTTCTAACAGTATCTAGTAAGAATATGCTGGATTTAATCCCCAGCATGTTCAAACGCAATATTTGTCACCATTCCTGAGAAAAACTGTCCATTTATTTCTTAGAAGGTCATTTTTAGCACCAACATTTGACTGTCTACATGCATAAATATCTTCTCAATTTTTGGACTTAATTCCTTCGATTCATAACACTCTTTCGTACAGTCATGAGTCCCCTGGATATCCTAGCTGAAACATTCATATACCTATCTATCTTACTACCAATATAAGACTGACTATATTGGGTGGCAGCTTCTGACGGAATTACCTTGAGACATACATTTCAGGTATGACCATATGATAAAGCGCGACGTCTTTTGACGACCTTCTGAGTACTTGTGAAATTAGTGAGATTCTATCGACAAACATAGTTCTTTTTCTTCATTTATAGTTTCTCTATTGTTGAGATACTTTATTTGTTTCTATTACACAGTGTCTAGCTAGTTTAGCGAAAAAACTGCCTCAATTATATTGCCATTAGCTTCATAGTGCGTGTCCAAAACACTTAACCACGTGACTGATACCAAAGTAATCTTTCAGCGCCAACGGGCTTTTAGTAGACTTAATCTCTGCGACAACTCCATAAATAATTCAGATTTCAACAAGAATTTAATTTGAGGGATTATATCGTGCATTTTATTGCGACTAGGACTTGTGTTTTGACTCGAGAATTATTACACCATGGACTTTGTGGCTTTTGAAACGTTTTCTGAGAACGATGTCTTGCCCTCTCCCCAACCGTCGCTATCACTACCATTGAAGTCAAATATAAATCATTTAAGTGCAAAACTTCACAATCTCAAAGATTTCAAAAGCTTTCTCAAGCAAAATCATACACAAGAACCAGAGGAAGTCAATCAGGATTCGAAAATGGCAGAACAATACGCGAAATTGTCTCTCCAGATGATAGATAGGGAGTATAAAGATTCTCAACTGATGAAATCAGATGAAGTCTCTTCAAGTGGACTCAGAGCAGATGCATTTTCCCTAAGATTGGGTCGGGCACTCAATTTTAGCATCGGTGACACGCGTATTCGAGAACTTTTCACCACTTTAGAGCCTAAAATACTTGACAATTTTCAATTGATTAACTCCGGAATTGAGGGCTCTCTAGCTCGTAAGAATCTACGAGGAGAAGTTGAAGCTGATGTTATCAAAATCAACGCGAGTCAGCTAGCAGATTATGCCAAGCCTATCGCAAACTTGAGATATTTGGGAGATCGCTTACAGGCTCTAGATATTTTAGTCAAAGACACAAACAAATTACTTTTTCAAAACTCTGTGGCTGTGGAAGATTTGCGAAGCGCAGTTTCACAATACACAGACGACAAAGCCTCTGTCACCTTGAAGAGAGCTTTGCTAGTTACGTTTCGGCAAAAGTTTACCTTAAATGAATATGAAGAATTTCTTTTGAGCTCTACTGAAATCAATTCAGATTTTTTTGAAGCATTGGAGCGAGCAGAAACCATAAATGAAGCTTGCGCCCTTCTTCTTGCTTTAGATAACCCTGAGTTAGGCAAGACTATAATGACTAAAATCAGCACGCTCGTCAACAAAGCAAAACATACAATCGTATCGTTTTGCAAAAAGTCTTTATCAAACACAGATTTGCTTTATTCGCAAGAAAAGCTTTCAGTTTTGAAGTTGTGCTTGCAGCAACTCAAGCAAAAACCCGAACAGCTTGTAATGATATTGGATACGTTTGTGGAATCTCGTTCTTCTGCACTTTTGGATGACTTTAATTCTCAAGTGGGAAATTTTGATGAAAAAGAAAACTCAATGGCCCCTGATGATTCTAGACCTGTCTATTATTCATCTCACGACCCTTTACGGTTCATCACAGACTTGTTGGCATATGTTCATTCTTCAGCAGCTAATGAGGCAGAAATTATCTTAGGATTGTTTCAGAGTGAAGACTCCTTATCTTCCACTCGCGACGAGGTTGTAAACAAAGTCATGACGTCTTTGGCGAATCCGGTTAAATCGAAGATTGAACAAATTATCACACTGGAAGGGAAATTAAGTGTTCTTTATCAGATACTTAATGTTTTGGAATTGTATGTCATTATGTTCAGCAAAGACCTCCACGCACGAGTTATATCTATTTCAATTGAAGACTGTATCAATCGGATTCGAGAGAAATTCAAGATGATTTTGACTAGTCGACTCGCGTCAGTTCAGGAATCCAATCTGGCCAAGCTTGAACTATCAAGCGATTTGCAACCCCCTGAATGGATAATAGTGTACTACTCGGATTTACTCCCTATAGTTGACTCAATGCAATCTTCAACTATATTAGGGGTGCATCAGGAAGAACATAAACAGTTTTTGGACCTCATAACTGAACGCCCCATCAAAATTTTTCAAAACCACTTGAATCTGGTTTCAAACAAGTTCAGCAAAAGAGAAAAACTAATCTTTCAGTTGAACTTCTTGGACTTGGTTGTTTGTAAGATCATTCCCTTAAGTCTTCTTGGTGATAGAATGTTGGAGATAAATCATTGTATAAATGATCTTTCCGAAGAAATCATTGAGGAACAGTTTCACACTCTTTTATCAGAATGTGGGCTTACGGATTATTACAATGTTATGAATATGATTTACCCCACGTCGGAGGATGTTGCAGATGCATCAATTTACCTGTCAGTCTCAGAGTCAGTGATTTTTAAGGCGGATTTAATTTCCGAGATTGATGATAAAATTCAAGCAACAATTCCGACTGCTCTTCTTGATATACAACTGAACTTGATGAAACTTAATAATCCTGTCATCGTCAACGAAATAATTGAAGCATGTTCGAGAAGATTTTTGAAATTTCACAAGCTATTCACAGAAGTGGTATTGATTTTCATCAGCAATTCCCCTTTTCAGTGGTCTGCAAGCGAAATAGCAACCCTTCTTGGTGTGGATATCAATCATACCATAGAACAAAAACTTTGAATTCACAATCTCTGCAAAGATAGTCATATTGAAATCCGATGTGATTTCCACTTCAAATGTCATGAGTGCGAACATCATAAAGATGTAAACCAGACAAATTGTATCCAGATAAACATGTTTCACGTCGAAAATTCGTTAATAAATTTGTTTTGGAATATTTCAGCAGGACAGAAAAGATTCTATTGAAAATTTCAAGAATGGCGGAGAGGGACTTTCCCCCTTCCATACCCATCTTTTTCATAATAGTCCATGGGGTAGTACTCCTTCAACCACGTGTCGTTTCCCGTGACAACCATTGCTTCATACGGCGTAAGTAATGGTTTCTCAAAAGCGTATCCCCAATCAATGGAAAGCCTAGGACATGCAACTTGAACGAAAGCGTCTATATCAGAAAACATAGCGAGCTTTTGTGGAAATATTTCACTCAAGATGATCTTGACAACCTCTACCCCCTTTTCTTTGAACGTTGTCTCAATTCTATCTAGTGTTTGAGGATTACCTTGTCTTCCCAAGGCTCCTAATATAAGACCAACCTTTTTAGCTTTTGCAGCTGCATTCATCGCATCCTGCCTCACCTGTACCATTTGTTGCTGATCATAGTGCTCTCTCGTAAATTTCCTTGAGTAAGGATCATACCGATAGGCTGGGATGTTTGGATTATGTATCATGGCACTTTCTAAGTGAAATCTTCCATCTCCGACATATACCATAGCTTTGATATTTTCATCAAGTCTGGCAGACGTACATCCCAACACTTCTCCTTTAGAGAGCGGCATTGTTTGCGGTGGAATGATATAAATTGGCTTCTCAATATCATTTCCAAGCTTTGCGCTTATGCTGTGAATTGTGGGATTAAACTGTATTGTCCCAAAACACGCCAAATGATCACCTTGGTGAAAGTTCTTCTTCAAAGTGTTCATTAGATGCGTTTCGTCAATATTGATGGTCACGAACACGTATAAGACCTTTATTTTAGTAACATCAATTGGAACGAGGCACAGGTGAGCATAATGAACAATAAAATCACAATCAAGTGCTCTTGCAGTAAAGTCGTCAATACAACAAGCACCATACGAAACATCTCCCATAACAACAGTTTCAACACCACAAAATTGTTCCAAGATATCCGAGATGATCATAGAATATATAAGCAAACCCTCAGGCATTTGTAAAGCTACCCGCCTGGAATTGTGCTTCTTGATATTCCAAACGCATTTGTGGATTTCAAAATTGTAGTTAGAAGGCAAAAGTCTTATTGCCTCGTTCAAATCTTTGTCACCAAGTATATCATCCGGAATTTGGTTGAGTGCCCGCCCTATATGACGTTTGGGCGCCTGAACTAATGATGCATTTGAGGATTCCGCGACTCTGCGTCCAACAAATCTTTTCTTTGGTTTATCACCAGTGAAATTCATTGATTTGTCTGGGTTGATGCGTGATTCCAGGTGACCACCGCGATGAAATGGACTCATCTCTCCTTCAAATATACAGGTGCTTGTGAAAACCAGAGATGCGATATCTTGCAAGCCGCGAACACGGTCTACACAGCCCTTCAAACCACGTTGTGAATAGCATTTTTGTGATGATCACTCCGTATTTTACCGTTGATCAAGATGAAGAATACCTCTATGTTTCAGTGAAAGTCTCACACATTCGGTTTTCGGCACAATCTATTGAAATGGTTGCCAATGGCGATGTTTTTGTATTTTCTCTTCCCCCATACTACCTTCGACTCAGACTTCCATTTCCTGTTCTCGATGACGAGAGAGCAAAAGCAGAGTTTGATCTGAAATCTAGCAATGTGAACATTTCTCTCCCAAAAGAGGTGAAAGGCCAGTTTTTTCCCGATCTAGACCTTACAGCCAAATTATTAGCAAGAAAGGACGAAGCTTCAGTATTATTACACAGAAAACCATTAATCGAGGAGTTAGATATTTCTCGTAATATGTCATTCGAAGATGTGGAGCCCAAAAATCTTGAGCTTCTTGCAGATGAGGGACAAACATATGAATGGGAACTCAGTCAGGAGATCAACACGCAACAAGCTAGTGGTGCAACATATGGCTTTAACAATTCTTACAGTCAGATTGTTGGTATATCTTTGGCCAGTGGAAATGACATCAACGAACTTAGTGACCCAGAATCATCCCTAGCACCCGATAGAATAATCGAGCGTCTCATTAAAGAAAATATAAAATTCGACCCAGAATACTATGCTGCTGATTTTATCATGGAAAAAAACCCTTCTGAAGATAATGACAAAGTTTATGCTGGGATAATGAAATGGAAGTCACCAACAACGCGGCAATTCTTGTCATGGTATAAGCAGCAGCAGCAAGCCACCCAAGAAGAAAGGGAGCTGGTCGTGAAGATAGAATTCTCAAAGGAAGAGAATGAAAGAATGTTTGAGCTTCCTAAGAAAAGCTATCTTCTTGAAGACTCGTATAGACCTCAACTTTGGATGTTATTGATCACACTTTTATTTGCACATCAATTCGATCTTCGGGAGAACGAAGGCGAGCACAATATTGAAAGTGCATGGACCATTGGTAAGTTGACTCCTCAATTTGCGTATTTGGATTCCCAAATTTTCATGCCTGATGATTTATCTTCCAATATTCTTGAAGCAACAATTCTCACTGTATCACGAAGATCACTTTGTTATCCGTTTCATAGACATTACGGTCTTACCAAAAAAGCATGGGATGATGTTTACTACATTCTTCGTTCTGGTAGAAGAGTAGTATTGAAGTGTCTTTTGGAAGTTAGAGAGCTTTTCCGTTTCCACGACGTGTATTACGTATATGATAAAATTTGGCTTGAGGATTTGTGTCTGTGGATTCTTAGCGATCTAGTTTCGGAAAATGCATTGAGGCACCTTGCCCATGACTTAAAGAGAAAAATCGAATCTCTTAAAAAGACAAGCATAACCTTTGAGAAGGTAGATGATACACAAACTGGTGACGCTATGATTGTCTTGGACATCGAGGAGATAGTAATAATGGCTGAAGATTCGTACAACACCTTTACAAGCCAAAATGAATGATTATTATACCAACCTTACGTAAACCAAATAAAAAACTGAATACAAACCAATCAAAAACATATCAACATGTGTGACAAGAGCATATGAGTTTGTGCATTAGAAGTGTACGCTGAAGGATAGTTTACTAGCTATGTAGGAGTAGATTAATTTGGAATGCATACCCAAAAACATTTGCAGATCATGAACGGTTTACTTCGTCCTTTCTGACGATGTGCAAAACGAAGCATCACGCTGAACATTGGGCATTGAACCCACCCGCGAAAGGTCCATAGATATATCAGTGGATCGGTGTCTTTTGTGAATTGCTGCCAGAGATTGCAATGACATTGAGTTGCTGCGCTTGTGTTCGGATTTCTCGGCAGGCCTTTTCCCCGGATTTTCTGAAATCCAGTGGTGGAATTGAATGACTTGTTGGTGTTGAGTCATGTCATCTTGCAAAACATTCGGCCCTTTACCAGCCTGAATATTTTGTGCCGGTATAGGACGAACTCTTGCTGAAGATTTAACACCCTCTGGCGATTTTAAGCGGTTTGTTGAATCTGAAATATTCTGATTTTTCAGTTGCGCATGCAGGTGATTCCCTGATTTATGGTCAGACACAGTTATCTCTGTCGGCATTGAGTAGTGCCGCTGGTGAAGGGGTATTGTTCTGGTGGCTGGACGAAATGGAGTTAAAGGGTTGGCCAAACTAGCCACAGCCATTGCTCCAATCTTTGCAGGAGAGCGAGGTCGCTTGTTGTTAATATTATGAGATGACAGTTGATATCGTGATTGCGCGCCACCGAACCGAAAGTTCATCGGATCGACAGAGCTTGCATTGTTTGAGTTTTCATATTCCCTGGAGGATTGCAATGGCGAAGCGGTTAGGTAAGGAGATCTCAGATACAGTGCGCCTGATGAATCATTGATCCCCGCGGAATTGTTGCTATTGGAAACCTGTCCCAAAGCTTGCGTTGGGAGTGACTGGTTCGCTCGATTTGATTGATTGTGCATGCTGACTATTGATAAAGACTCGGACGGAACATTGTTCTCAATGGCAAATTGTATCAAGGACTTTGTTTTAGAGATAACTTCTAACTTTAACCTCTCTTGCTCTGTTCTTTCTTGCTCTGCGCGTAGACGAAGGGCTTCTTCAAACATTGAGGGCGACATTGCAAATCCTTTGACACCCGGTCCTAAGAGAGAAGTTGATACCGACTCTGGAACAACTTGAGAGTTATGCGAGGATCGATGGCCATATTTTGAAGTGTATGTGTTGTTTATACCTGTAGGAGGTCCTTTAGATGTGTCATGACAAGATGTTTCAGCACTTGGACATATTGCATCATTTCTGGCTGAAGTATCTCGACTTTCAGGCTGACGGTATGGCGGTTCGCTTGTATGCTTTGACATTAGTGGCAGGGGGTCCTCTGCATCAGGAATTGTTTCGATTAAGGAACACACTTTCATGTAAGATCAAATTTTTGATTTCATCAAAGTTACCCGTATAATTCTGTGGTGGGTGGGTAATTGAGGACCCTGGATCTTGTTACGCACAGAGGATTTCTTGACTATTTCGAAGTGTCACGCGAATCTAAGTTATAATCTGACAAAATTTGCTCACAGAACTTTCTTTTAGTTCTAGTATACCTAATTATATGTCTGACTATGTCTTTCTGTTTCGATTAAGACTTGGAATAGTCGCTCAGTTCAGCACCGGATGCGTGGTTAGGGCAACATCACAGCGAAGACAGCAGATCTCTGGCCCCTGCGACGCGCGTCCTGTCTATAGCCTCAAATAGCAGCCAGAACTGCAACCCATTACCTGATCGAGGTGCTCCATAAATCTTGAAATCTTCCACAGGTTGGAAAAGTTTGGGCACCCAAAATTCTGGAACTTGGTCAGAAATTGAAAAGCCTCTAAGCGCTCAAATCCAAGGTTTTAAAGCCCAATGCAAGTCATTTGCCTCGCTAAAAAGACTCAACTTCGAAAAGAATCAGACCATCAGTCTTCTTAAGGCGGTCTATGTGCTTGCGAAAATTATCTCTCCATTCGACAATCTCGCTGATTTGTACTCGGAATTCACCTGATTTGATGAGTTTATAGGCTTCTTCAACCCACTCTCTCTTGATCTGTGGTTCCAAAATTTCAAAATAATTGTAAGCGCTAATCAAAAGATTGGCTGCTCCTCGAGTCCAGCTTGATGCCCAAGGGTCTAGGGCCGGGCTTTTATAGACGATCATTTTGTCAACCAGGTATGAGGGATCAGACAATTCGAAGTCGCAACAGGATACAAATGAGGAGCCGCTTGATTTTGGCTTCATTAACTTTAAAAACAAGGCGCCTTTTGCTTTCCCAAAAACAGTACTGGGCTTCAATGTTTCTTCAAGACGAGCTTTGAATGGGAAATTGACTTGATCAATTTTCAGCATATCCACAGACTTTTGGAACATCGTTTTACTACCGACTATGTCCACAAACAAATCCAATTTCAATTTATGGATATTCGTTTTACTGATTTTTTCGGACGTTGGAATGATTTTCAGGATACTGTCGATCACTTCGGTTGCAAAAAACGGAACCTTTTTAAAGTTGACAGGAATAGCTTCGCCGGGAAGCACGAGGTCCTCATTTCTCATATCAAAAGCAATAATATTGATGTTTCTGAGACCTCCACAGTTATACTGAGAAACAAAAGATCTGGTCTGCTCTAAATTTTTTTCCTGAACAACAAGTGTAATATTATAACTCTGAAGAATATCCTGATAGACACTTGAGGTGATAATTTGAACAATATTTCTCCCCAAAAGAGTATCCGCTCCATTTATGAGAATGTTTGCGCTTGCTTGCTTCTTGAAAACTTTGTCCATATACGAGAGAGCTTGTTTTGCTCGGCAATACTGCGATCCGAAAGTGCAAAATCTCGCAAGCGGTGGAATGTCCAAACTTGGGTTTACGGTCTCGGTTCGCATGTCAGATTCTTCGTTGGTCGATTCCTCTATTTGAAAGTCTGATGAAGACGCCGTTGGAAGATTGATATCAATCTTTCCTAGATCCTCCACTTCTTGATCAGAAATTTCAAATATAACATCACTCGGATTAACAATAACGCAAGTTTGCAAAGCTCCTTTCTTTTCTAGTGGATTTGTAACACCAAAAACTTTAGCACCTTTTCTGAATTTCTCATTGCGGACAAAGTTTTTTCCAAGCTCAACAATCTCTCCCACAAAATCATAGGCAATTCCAATTCTCTCATTTGATATATTGTACGCGTACTTTCGAATCTTTGCCATATCTAAAGAGAAAAGAGACGAATACTTGACATCAACTAGAATCCTATCAGGCCCAATGGGAAGAACAACCTCATGGTAGTTGAAGTTCAAAATCGTGTTCTTGTTGACCGCAGAGATTTCCTTAACTGCTCGACTGGGAAGATCAGGCATGTCATCAAGAGTAAGAGGTTTCTTCTTTTTCTTGCCTTGAACTGGAGATTTCTTGATCTGTGGCAATAACTTGGGAGCATCTGCTCGTTTTTCTAGGTAAGAAAGTTCCGGGGGAATCTTACCGAAAACGTTACTTTCGTATCCGTGTTGTTTAATATCCTCGGTAGATAACAGACGTGGCTCACTCACAGGATCACTCATGAACTTCACCAGCTTGCGCTCTTTTATCACTGGCTGGTCATCTAAATCACTTGGTTCTGGAATGGACATCCCTTGTTCTGTGTCTGGGCTTGAGACATCGGATTGTTGCTTCCGTTGAGTCAGTTCAGGATCATCCATGCTCTTCGCTTCTGAAGTCACTGAGGGCTCTTTTACAATATTTTTGCTTTGAGCAGTCATACTGATTTGAAACCTCAAGTTATGGGAGTGCTCTATCTTTCCTAAGTTAGGAATTTGGATGAGAAGTTGGCTCTAGGGTATCTTGCGAGTAGTGCGTATTGGCATGCTCCATGTTTGTTTGGCTAACAACTTCCGGTGAATCCGATGCGACATGGCCCCTTGAGAATAAAAAAAAAAGAAAAACAGAATTTCTGCAGATTCTTGAATGGGGAAAACAGAAAGCATAAATTTATACATCTGGCTTTCGTGAAAATTCTGATTCCTCGCATGAAGTTATAACAACTATACTTAGATATTTTATTAAGTAGGGGGTATCTCGATGGCGAGATGATACTGCAGGCATAAAATCTTGAGAGTACAGTAGATGGCTGTGCAATCATTCACGCAGGCATGAACACTCCGTACTAAAATTCATCTATATATTCAAACCTTGCTGTTAAAAGTGCAGTTAGCCATGATTACAGTAATACTATGCTATACTTCAGCCCTTATCGGGTCATTGATTTTCCTTGTGTATCACATCAATTTGTGGAAGTATCCAATATACTACTCTGCCCCTTTGATTTTGGCTGTGTATCTACCAATGTCTGTGACAATTCTATTGCCTCTTGACTATGTTAGTCATACAATGGGCCCAATAGCAGGGGTTCAATTGAGTGACAAATCAATTCTTTTCTTGTGGAAAGGAACTTATTGGTCCACATTTATACTCACGTGGGTGATTTTACCAATCCTCAAAGAGTTCTATCGCGTTGGAAACCACCTGAAACTAGAAAAGCTTAAGGCATCATTGAGAAGAAATGCTAAGTTTCAAGCCATTTCTCTCTTGTGCTCTGTTGCATGCGCAGTATATCTCATGCTTGAGGTTGGATTGACATTCAAGAATTTAAAGTCTATGATCATCGCCCTTTCTCACATATATGCATTGGTCTTGGCTTTATGGTTAATGGCTCACGGCATGATTTCTATTCCTCGAAAACGGTGGATTGAAGGAAATCTTATTCAAAATTTAAACCATTATTACATGCGAGTTCCCAAATTGGTGGATATTTTAGAAGATACGAAGAGTGAATTTAAAGAAGATATTGTTCAAGTGATGCTTCTCAAGGAGAATTTTACTGATGCAACAATTGCTGGTGACTTTCAGTTTCGTGACTGGATCTTGGACCTTGAAGCTCAAATACCAGATGAACTCAAAGAAGCTGCCATGCGACAATTCGTTTATTCCCATGAAACGACAATAAATCGAGAGCAAATCACGGAACTGTTTATGTCTAACTTGACTTACAAGTTCCAGACTCATTTTTACAAACTACTGGCTCACTCATCTGATTATGACCTCATTTTAAAGAGAATAGTCCAATTGCAGACAATAATTGAGGCAAGATGTAGTCAGAACTGGGATGATAGGATGAACATACTACACGCAAATGGAAATGATTACTTGCCGAGATTCAGCTTCTATGTTCAGTGTTATGGCATTCCCCTATTCGCACGCGTGCAATCTAGTATGATTTACCTATTATCTTTCATCATTATTGAGTCTGAATTTTTCCATTCAACAAAATTATCGCTCATTAATGTGATCACTTATAATATGGGTATTTTCAGACATAATCTTATCCAGGCAACTTTTTTACTGTCCATTTTTATGTACATGTTATTTTGTGCAATTAGTTCGCTCGCTGCGCTAAAAGTTTTCAACATGTACCACTTGGTGCCAAGACACTCTGATCCTGTGTCAGCTTGTTTTTACGGATCATATATTGCTCGGATGACTATTCCTTTATCTTACAACTTCATTGCATTATTTACAACTAGAAAATCTATCTTTGAAGAATGGTATGGACAATCCATTCATTTGTCTGGTTTGTTTAATTCGATGAACAACTGGATTCCGCGTCTTCTTTTTATTCCTATTGTCTTAACATCTTTCAACTTGTACGACAAAATTAAAACTTTGCTTGGACTTAAGACAGATATGTATAGCTGGGCAAATTTTGATGATGAGGAATTTGATGATAGTACATATGACCAAGAGCGACAGCAAAGCAACAGAAAAGAGTTGATGATAGTTGAAGCCAAACGGCTTGTCCAAATGGAGTTAAAACGCCGGGGGAACCAGGCTTCTGGGTACAACAGGTATTCTCGTGTTGAAGGGAGTATAGCCCCCCCACCAGAGGCTGATGCCCACATAGCAGACAGTTATCCAAAAGCGTTAGTGCAGACTCAACTGAATGGGAACATATTAGAGCCAGGATCAACCATATTGAGTCGTCTAGGCGAAACTTTCGGTGGCTTTAAAAACGCAGTCAGTTCCAAATTCAGCAATTCGCGATTGCAAGGAGATATGTCTTTGCAATATCATGATTATGATACTGATGCTGATGATAATCTAATTGTATAAACACTAATTACTGAAAATTTATCTTTAAGTCTTTTTGATTTGGAACTAATATATTGGGGGGAGTGGCGATGGATCTTGCTAGTAGTGGCGCAATATTAAAAATCATGTAGTCTGGCGACAGTTAGCGCACTATGTCATGGGACATTACTACGGTGCCGTGAACTTCGCACCTGTGCACCACCATGTACCACTTTTACGTAAAAAAGTTTCGATTACACGAGTTCGAGTAAGAGCAAATATGTCGAGTATTGGCTTGCAAGTTAGAAAAGCGGCCCCCTTAGTGGACCCAATCATTGCGGATTATGCTATTGGCTATATCCAACATGTATCGCACGCTACCGAGGATTCAGTTTCTGCCCAGCAGCTTGATATCCTGAAAGACTTAACTTTTATTGAACACCTCTTGGTGGACGCGGGAGGCGAAGCAGAGAAAGTTAAATCGATGATTTCTGGCTTAGATAAACAGTTGACAGATAAACTAAATGAAAATCTTGCCAAACTCGCCATCACAGGAGACAAGTCCAAGAGACTTTTGGATGTGAATGTATTGAAAAATAATTTTAAAAGAGACATTAACTCTTCCCTTGCGTTACTTGGATCCTCAAGAGATATCTCCCATGCGGGCAGACAAGTGGAAAGTCGAGTTGACAAAAAGAAATTGGAGAAACAGGAGAGAAAAATTGCCAAAAAAGTTGCTAAAAGAAACAATCAGTTCGTCAAATATGAAGCATCACAGTTACTCAATGAGAAAAAGAAAGAAGACTACGACTCGTTTTATTTGGAAATTAATCCATTGGACTTTGGCCAGAGTGCTGGAAAATCAAAGGATATTAAAGTCGATAATTTCGATTTATACGTGGGTGATGGTAAAAGAATTCTTAGCGATGCAAGTTTGACTTTAGCGCATGGAAGAAGATACGGTTTAGTTGGTCAAAATGGTATAGGAAAATCCACCCTATTGAGAGCCTTATCCAGAAGAGAGTTGAGTATTCCAAAGCACATTACCATTTTACACGTTGAGCAAGAGCTCAGGGGAGATGATACTCCTGCTTTACAGGCTGTCCTAGATGCAGATGTGTGGCGAAAATCTTTGTTGCAGGAAGAACAAAAAATCACTGAGAGAATCGATGAAATCGAAAAATTACGCCTGGAATTCGAAGAGGGCTCAAATGAAGTACTCAAATTGGATAATGAGCGGGGGGATTTGGATAAGCATTTGCAGGAAATTAGTGAAAAACTATACGAAATGGAGCTGGACAAGGCGGAGAGTAGAGCTGCTTCCATTTTATTCGGTCTTGGATTCTCTAAAGAGTCCCAGGGATTGCCCACTAATTCTTTCTCTGGAGGTTGGAGAATGAGGTTGTCTTTGGCTCGTGCCTTGTTCTGTGAGCCTGATTTATTGTTGTTGGATGAGCCTTCTAATATGTTGGATGTTCCATCTATCACATATCTTGCGAAGTACTTGCAAGGCTACCAAGGAACAGTGTTTGTTGTTTCTCACGACCGAGCTTTCTTGAATGAAGTTGCGACAGACATTATTCACCAGCACTCCGAAAGATTGGATTACTATCGTGGTTCAGACTTTGACTCGTTTTACTCTACCAGAGAAGAAAGAATCAAAAACCAACGCCGTGAATACGAGAATCAAATGGCTGTCAGGCAACATTTGCAAGCATTTATCGACAAATTCAGATACAATGCCGCGAAGTCATCTGAGGCTCAATCACGTATCAAAAAGTTGGAAAAATTACCAATTTTGGAACCGCCTGAGGATGACAAAATTGTTAGCTTCAAGTTTCCAGACCCCGACGGACTTTCGCCACCAATTATGCAAATGCATAATGTGACTTTTGGATATTCCCCAGACAAAATTCTTTTGAAGAATGTCGATTTAGATGTCCAAATGGACTCTCGTATTGCATTTTGTGGTGGTAACGGAACTGGTAAAACAACTTTGCTAAAATTGCTCTTGGATAAACTTACTCCATTAGATGGTACGATCACAAAGAATGGAAGGTTGAGAATCGGCTACTTTGCACAGCATCATGTGGATGCAATGGACTTGAATTTATCTGCTGTTTCGTGGATGGCACAGGCATATCCAGGTAAATCAGATGAGGAATACAGGCGTCACTTGGGCTCATTTGGTATCACAGGGTCTCTTGGGTTGCAAAAAATGGAGTTGTTGTCTGGAGGTCAAAAGTCGAGAGTTGCATTCGCCGCGCTTTGTTTGAACCAGCCTCATATCTTGATTTTGGATGAGCCCTCCAATCATTTGGATACCCAAGGTTTAGATGCACTTGCTGATGCTTTGATAAATTTCAAAGGAGGTATTTTAATGGTCTCGCATGATGTTGCGACGATCGAACGGGTATGCAACGAAATCTGGGTCAGTGAAGATCAATTAGTTAGGAAGTTTCCTGGAACCATTCATGATTACAAGAGACATATTCTTAAGAATGCCAGCGCTACAGGTGTGGTCAAGCAGCATTAAATCTAATATAGTCATTGCTTTCCAATTTGTTCAAATCGCTCCTCCATAGTTTTGTTTGTTTCTTTATTTTGCCGTGTGATCTATCTAGTTTCTTTCAATACTCATTGCGCGCACCTCCGTCACAGCGCATTCTTTGACACCCATCTTAAGTCCAAATTACTCATGACGTCTTTCTTCAGATTTACGAGAGGCACCCGGATTGGGATTGGGGCTCTTGTCTCATATACCTCTTTCGAATCTTATATGTATATCAAAACTGCTCATCTTATACAAGAAAGAAAAGATGCCATAGATTCATCAAAGTCAGATGAAAATGATGGTCGCTTGAGGTTTCAGTCGGCTACGATAAATGGTATATATGTTAACCCTTTTGAAGAATACCGACCACAAACTGCTTTCGAGTTTGTTTACGTTCGAATCCTTGAAGTTCTTGAAAGCATTTACGGCAACAAGGTTGAGATGCATGACCCCCACGTCACATCCACTGGAGAAATCGCTGAAGTAGAACAGTTTTTGCAAACTTTTAAGCCAAACTACGAGCTCCTAAGATACAATTCAAAAATTTTGGAAAATTGCTTACATTCTGGTTCTTACGAAGCTTTGCTGAACACAGAAAGTAAAAGTGTCCCTATCAATCAGCAATTGTTGTTTACATGGTTGGGCCAATCATGTTCCCTTTTACAGATTAGCGGAATAAACATTCTAACAGACCCCATATTTAGTGACTATCTTTTCGCAAATAATGTTGGCCCTAAACGTCTTGTCAACTCGCCGATGTCACTTGAAGATGTCAACTATGCTACCAACGATAATTTGAACCTCGTTTTGGTTTCTCATAATCACCCTGATCATCTTGAAATGTCTTCTGCTCAAAAGATCGGAAACTCGGCTCTTTGGGTAGTCCCATTGGGCCTCAAACTGGTCTTACAAAGAAAAGGTATAGATAATGTTATCGAGATGGATTGGTGGGACGTTCTACCGCTCAATGATCATCTTTTCGGGGAGCGCGGTTCTGACTTTCCCGATAATTATGAGCTCGTCTTCCTACCAGCGATGCACTGGTCCGGAAGATATGTGGTAGATGCAAACACATCTTTGTGGGGATCGTTTATGATCCGAAAGAATGGGACATCCCTTGTGTATCACGCAGGTGATACAGGCTTCTCAAAGGAACTTTTTGATAAAATTGGTCAGAATTATGGGCCTGTGACCTTATCTTTATTGCCAATTGGACAGTATTGTCCTTCGTGGCATCAGAAACCGAGGCACGTGTCGCCAGAAGAATGCTTCAAAATTGCTTCACAAATCAAAACTTCCAATGTTATGGGAGTTCATTTCGGAACTTTCAAATTAAGTTCTGAACCCATATTGGAACCAAAAGAACTATTTATGAAGCTTGCCGAGCTGCGCAATAAAACTCCGTCGTACAGTGTTCCTGAGTTCGGGTTCACGTACGAGTACGATATCAATCGGTCAGGACAAGTCGCCGAAAACACATCTCTAGAGTGAATGAAAAAAGCAGGAAATATCACATATTTATTCACAATCGGTCCAATTTAAAGATGAAAATGGGACTTAACTATACACATATCGACGCTGAATAAGTAGTGATGGCTTAGTTCTGCAAGCCGTAAAGCTCTCTGATTTTCTGTCTTTGGGATTGGACAAGAGTCCTCTCCATAGCGAGGTACCCGGTGTCAGATCTAATAACTGAGCCAATCGACATGAATAAACTGAATGTTGCGACTGAACCCATGATGTAGTTTCCCAAAGTTCTCATGACTCCGTTTGGTCCAGCTCCATGTTGCAAGATGGTGAAACCTCCAAATAAAACACCCACACAAACACCCACTGAGCCACCCATTAGAGCGCCCATTTTGAACTTGTCAAAATTGGAAGGTTGATGATATTGTACAGCCATAGTTGCGATTGATATACTCCTGCTTAATTTTTTGTCCGTGTAAAACAACTCACTGGTTTCTCGTTTGGTAGTGTGCAGTTCAAATCAGTATGCTGCAAAAGTCACGGAGAAATTGAAAACTTCAGGGATAACTAGTTACTAATTGGATCCTACCACTTATGATGAGAAAAACTCATTCTTCAATATGTGGGAAATTTACGACTTCCAGAGCATATTCTGTTGAACGACGAATATCTTAATCTAAGTGAGGAAAATCTGAAGAGGCATTAGGAAAATCAAGCGACTTTGTAAGGCTATGTAAAGATGAACAGATAAACTTCGGCGCCCAGAATGTGCAAATTGTTTGTTCACGAAAGAAAACTTATCATGACCCTTTTATCACTGCAGATTTGGCGGAAGTCTGACTGTTCATCTAGAGTGCTGTAGATTTGAATTGTCTAGCTCGCGCACGACTGCACACCCAATAGACATTCTCGAAGAGAGCGTTCACGAATTATTGGACTCTCATTACAACAGGTGTGTACAAGACCCGATTCCTTGGTCACTTCACAGAAATAGCATCTAACAGCTCAAGCTCAGGCTATTTGTTTTTGCCTTTGACTTTGAGAACCTTGATTGAATTTTGAGCTAACAAATAGTGCAATATGGGTTCTTCAGCGTCCAAGCCTGAGACAAAGGTTTTCTCCCCCAAAGCACCAGTTGACTACAGTGCTTCATTTTTATCCCATTTAGAGAACTCTCAAGAATCTGACTACACCCGGGCCCAGTTCACTGAAAGTTATATCCAAGAGAGGGTGGCAGCTGAGTTGCAAAAATTGGAGCTGGAGGCTATAACGAAGTATCAGGCCTCAGCGTCCGACGCATTGTTGAAAGATGGAAGCGATGGTGCTTCTTACAGTGCTTCAAACGATAAACTTCTCGCCCTCTCAAAGACCTTGCAGGATAATGCTTCTCTGATCAAAATTGAGCTTGATGAGCCAGTCGTGATTGCCAGACAAGAGGTGATAAGCTGCTTGAAAACCAATAAAGGAAAGGCTCTCAACTGCTGGGACGAGGTCGAGCAGTTTAAGAAGTTAGTCCACAATTTGTAGTTATTTTATCAAATATTTAAGAGCCACTATTATCTGTGGTGATTTTTTATGTCATTTAAGTATATTGGAAGGATCATGGCAACGACTATAGTTTACAACCCTTTAGCCTTGTAAACAAGAATCAAAGCTGAATCACTTTCACCTCCCCCCGCTAAAGTTTCAATTTTTTCTTTCGTGACTGGATAAACTTTGTTGTCGTCGAATCTCCACCAAGCATCACCCTGTAAATCATTCTCGTCTTTCGAGAATGCCTGGTAATGACCCGAATCAGCTGAGATACCAGAATGAGTAATCACAGTTGTCAATTCATAAACCGATGAGGGGTTCTCAGTGGCCTGATCAATGTCAAAGGTTTTAGGTAACACACTTGCAAAATCGTCCTTAAATCTTGATTTAATGGATGCAACCTTCATCTCGTCCTCTTCTGCTTGCTGCTGAGGAGTCAAACTGGTATCCTTCTTCGCTTTCTTGTAATCACGCACAAGATCCAAATTTTCTTTTTCGATGGATCTCAATTGATCTCTGACAGCAATCTTTTCAGCTTTAATAGACTCGTCTAGCATTTCAGCCAAGTCCAATTCAAATGGAAACAGTACTTTTCTCAAAATTTTAGATTTCTTCTTTGTGTCAGTTCTCCAGAAAAATCTCACGAAGTGTACAGTCAAGTATTTAGGTAACCTCGTTATTGTTTTAGTGAGTTGATGCTCAGTGTTGACCTGCAATGTATCATTGAATTTTTCAATTGATTCCTTCAACCCATTCATGATTCCATCTCTCAAAAAATTTGTTTTGATGTCAATGTAGCAGTTGAGTTTGAAAGCAACTTCTGTGGATTCGGATTCTTCGGCAGAAGTCAAGTCCTTGGACAGTACCTTATACGTAATTCGCAACAAATCGTCAATCTCAAGAACGGATCCCAAACTGTTCAACAATTGCGAATATGCCTCTTCTGCATCCTGTTGCTTGTAAACTCCCATTTCTTGTTCGGCAAATTGGGGAAATTGGCTACGAAACTGCATCAAGGCTAGCATTGGTGCAACATTCTCTTTCTTTTGCGACATGGAGTCGAAGACATTCTTTAACGCTCTCACCAAAGGATTGGCTGTGCCATTGTAGCTCTGTATTTTTGCACAAATGTCTTTCATACTAAATATGGTTTGTAAAGAAGAATTCAAATAACACGTGTTTCCCAAATTCTGTAATCCAGATGGGTCATGAGAGGTCTTTCCTAGCTGTCTATCATCTAGCTCCTCCATGAAAACTTGATTTTTGGCATTGCCTATTGGTAAGTCTTTGTCGGGCGTCCCCAAAACCATGATATGAGTTTTCAAGTTCAAGTTAAGACTTGAAATGACAACCTCATCTGTTAATTTGCCCCCCTTTATCAAGATCTTCTGACGACTGCTAGGAATTTGTGTTTTTTCCCAGATTTTAGTCTTGAGATCAGATCCATTGGCTCCTTCTGCAAGGGTTATCTCATGTAATTTTCCAGCATTTTTTATTTTGAGCGTGAAAGACATCGTGGTCTGGGAGTGGATGTCGTCGGGTGGAAATCTATGTCCCTCTTGTAATCCAATCTTCGTGTGCAGGATCATCACGTTGCTTCGTGCGGAATCTTCGTCAATCGCGTCTCTCAATCCCCGGAACCTTTCGCCCATTTCTGTTGATCACAAGGCTTTAGTAAGACTTTTTATTATAAAGTCATATCAGCTGCTGAGAAAATGAAAACTGTTTTATTTTTTCTTCTTTTTTGTTCGTACATATAAATTGTCGCTTTAGACAGAGGCAAAGCGATAGACTAATGCGCTAATCTCGGTTATCCTATGCCACAACGACCATATTGAACCAGGGCCTGAAAGACCAACATCCCCTGTGCGGCCAAACCAAACACTCTGGTTGTAGGGAATCATAGAAGCTTGCATAACTTTGTCCTTGTTCTCCATGGACGGGGGGTATCTTACTTTCATGGTAAACTCGGTCCTCAAGCTCGATTCAATGGTTGTTCTCTCATGAGTAAAAGCCTTGTATGAGTAAAATCCGTGATAAGCGCCTTGTCCAGATTGGCCAATACCTCCAAATGGCGCATTCGGGAGACTGACGTGGAGAATTGAATCATTTACCATAGTACCCCCAGATCTGATGCCTAATCTAATAAGATCAATTTGTGTGTCTTTCAAGCGCAGCGGGGACCCGGAAGTAAAAATGTACAGAGCTAAAGGTGTATCGTGTCTTCTTGTCACTTCTTCGATGGCGTCTTCCAAATTTTTGTACGTAAGCACAGGCAACACTGGACCAAATATTTCTTGTTGCATCGTCGAATCATCCCAGTCCACGTTATCGATGACTGTCGGAGGGATGAAACGAGATTTGGAATCAGCTTTTCCTTTAGTCACAATATCACCTTTTGTATCTTCTATCATCTTAGTGATCGAACTGAACGCACGTTCGTGGATGATATGGGTAAATGAAGAGTCTGTACCATTCAATTTGGAATAGAACTCGTCTTCGACCACTTCCTTTAAAGCAGCCACCAATTTTTTCTTGACTTTCTCATCAACCAAGACGTAATCGATTGCCACACAGGTTTGACCTGCATTGGTAAAACGCCCCCAAACTATTCTCCTGGCAATGACTTTAACGTCTTTGTCAGTCACAGTGTCGAGAACAAAAGCGGGTGATTTTCCGCCCAATTCCAAAAGTACAGGGGTCAATGTTTCAGCTGCTTTTTTGGCGATGATTTTTCCGATGGCGGTGGAGCCAGTATACATGATCTTGTCAAATTTCTGGTCCAAAAGCACTGTCGTCTCCTCAATTCCTCCATTGATCATAGCAAACACACTCGGATCAAGGCAGTCAGTGAGCATCCGAGTGAGTACCTGTGCAAAATTAGGTACGAGTTCAGAAACCTTCAATACCACACAATTCCCAGCAGAAAGTGCCCCAATCACTGAAGAGAGTGATAAGAATAATGGATAGTTGAATGGGGAAATTACAAGCACGGTTCCTAATGGAACTCTCTCGATATAGGCTGGAGCAGTTTTCAAATTGAGAGGCACATCATTGATCGGTTCCCGCTTTGACCAATTCTGTAAATTTGCCATTGTATGGACCAACTCGTTCATAAACGGAGCATATTCCAAATTCATAGTTTCAGAAGGAGAGCGAGAGAAATCTTTGTAGAGGGCATCTGTTATGTCTCCAATACTGTCCTTTACAGCAAAATAGATGTTGCGCAACTGATTCAAACGGAACTGTAAAGAATGAGTTTTGTGTTCTTTATGAAAAGACGTTCTAAGGCAATTCACAATCTCTGGGATCCTTTCTGTTGGTGTATACTCTAAAACAGATCCGGAGTCAATTCCGTGCTTCAGATCTGTAGAACTGACCACTTCACTAACATTTAAAGATTCTGATAACGCTTTCTTCGTCATTTTTGGTTACCTTGTGTTATTGCTAGACTATTAGTTGCGTCTCTTTTATAATTCTATTGCGGAGTTGAAAAAGCTTGGAGATTGCATGCGGGCCGCGGAAGTCGTTGTGGGGTAACATTTCGATTGTCTGGAGGGGTCATGCAATTGACACCAGACAGGAGGCGTCTAAAGATGTGATTGTATAGACAGGAAGCCGTCTCATAATTTTGGACAAAGAAGATAACATAAAATGGAAACATATATGGTGCAGAATGACGAATTCAAAAATTTCTTGAAATTCAATAGTGAAGTGGCTCCATATCGACAAGACCAGGTATTTCGCGAGGGCTTCAATCAAGAGCCATACTTAAAGCGCTACACGACTAACCATTCGTCGCTCAAATTTATTCATGGGAAAAATTCCAACAGTAACACGTACAGGCAAGACATCAACTTCCGGGAAATAGTAGATCAGCTTCTTCAATTTGCTAATTCATATGATGAAGGTGAATGTTTAGCGCAAGACGGTACTTATATTTGCTCTCATAATATGTCAATATGCAGCAATCAGAAATTGGGAAATTCTGGCGAGCGTACCAGTTTTTTAGGCGGCCTGAGGCTGAATTAATTCGCACATTGACTATAATTCATCCACTTCCTAGAATCATCAACACATTCAACCAAAATGTTGAATCTAGAGTTTAGTGATACCAACATCACGGAACAAAAAATCTTTATAGGCGGCATCTCGTGCTTTTTGTACAATGCCAATACTCTCGCTCCGCATATCGAGGAACACAATACCCACACAGAGGTGACTGACTTTATTCCTATAAACGTATTATACTTGGCCCACCATAGAGGCGGTGATTACACCTACATGAGAGGAGTTGCCTCAAGAATCTTGACGAAAACCACAGGATCTTTGAAAGCTCCCATGATCGCAGTGGCTTTTGACGCCAGAAACCACGGGGAGCGTGAAATTGAAAAGGTGCGTAACTCCGGCTGGAAATCAAAAAACGATACCCATGGAATGGACATGCTTTCGTGTATAGAAGGAGGTGTCCAAGACTTAAAGCTTGTCATGGACTATATTGGATGCTACCTTGACTTAGAGCGGTTTCTTAGACCAGAATTGAAAGAAAGGGGGGTCAAAATTCAATACAATAATATTTTGTCTGGGTTTTCACAAGGCGGCCACACGGTCATCAGATTTGGCAACAGGTACCCTGAAAATGTTTCCATTATCAATCCAAACATTGGTTGCTCCGACCTAAGCACACTTCTTATCAATCGATTGAAAGGGACTAAACTGTTTGAGAAAAAACTATTCTACAGCTCATACGAGGAGCTCGACTTGACCGATAGCCAAAGCAGGCTATATCCTGAGGCTTTTCATAATAAGCTTAGTTCCGAAGATGCGCAGATATTCGAAGACTACCCCTTTGAAAAGATCAAGTTATTCGCGTCATTCTATGATAAGGATCCGTTGGTGCCACCGTCAATTTCAAAGTTGTGGTCAGAAATGTACCTCAATTCGAATTTGGCGTCCGAGGTATTCTTCGAAGTGGGTGCCGTCCATGACATAACAGTGAACATGATAGACAAGTTTGCTCAATGGTTGACAAAGGTCGCATGATTATACAAACCTCGATAATGAAGGTGGTGTGATGGCAATCTAAATTACACATCGCTCTATAATTTGGACACGAATAAATATGTAAAACTACCTTTGGAAACTTAAGATTTCGTGTGTGGCTCGCCGCACAATTCCTGCTTCAATCAGGTTGGCGGTCTAATTTGTTCTGTTTCTTCTGTTGGCTTATGTGATAAAAACAGTGGCAAATTTATGAATTCACACCATTAAACATTACGTAGAGATATCATTGCCCTAATCTTACTATCATTTCCTCGAGATTCATCGATGTGCGGGCGCTTGTCAGGGGTAAGCGCGGGCTTTTCCGTCTTGGTGCACACATGCACTCACTATAACTCAAAGTGATATGCTGAGATCTTGAGCAGCCAGAACTATATTGCCACTCATGTCTCTGCTTCATGGTATTAATGCCAGACTGGAGTCGCCTCTCAGTGTAGCGCAAGGACGCTCTCAGGTGAATTATATCACGTTTAACCAGGATGCCTCTTGTGTGGCGCTTGGTCTTGAAAGTGGCTACCGAATTTACTCTTGCAAACCAAATATCTCCAAATGCTTAATCTCAAGACGGGAAGAATCGGTCGGGATAATAGAAATGCTTTACTGTACCTCTCTTGTTGCAATTGTTGGTTTGGGAGAGGAGGTTGGCTCTCTGCCGAGAAAGCTCAAAATCCTAAACTCCAAGAGGCAAACGACAATATGCGACTTGATTTTTCCTTCGACAATCTTGCTGGTGAAACTCAGTCACCAAAGGATGGTTGTGTTACTTGAAGAGCAAATTTATATTTACGATATCAAAAATATGAACCTCCTCCATACGATTGAGACATCTCCCAACCTCAATCTGTTATGTGCTCTATCCGACAATTATGGTACAACAGGAACCAGTCTCTTAGCATATCCATCACCTCCTAAGACAATCACACATGAGTCACTTCTAGTCAACGGTTTGAATACAAATGGAGGCTTGCATTCGGTACAAAACAACATACAATCTGTAAGTAATGCTCCCAATAGAGTAGGAGACGCCATCATCTTTGATCTAACATCTTTACAGCCTTTAGCTGTAATCGAAGCTCACAAGTCCGCATTGTCAGCAATGTGTATATCTATCGACGGTTCTTTGCTTGCCACAGCTTCTGACAAAGGTACTATCGTCCGCGTCTTCAACGTCAATAGCGGAGTCAAGCTTTATCAGTTTCGAAGGGGCACATACCCGACAAAAATCTTTTCACTTTCTTTTAGTATTGACAACAAATACGTTGTCGCTACTAGTTCTAGTGAGACTGTCCACATATTTCGACTCGGAGAGAATGAGCTTTTAGCAAATAAACAGAAGCAAAGTCGCAACTCAAGGCCTAAGGGCTTTAGTGGGGAATTCAAGTATCAAACAATAGAAGAGGAAATAGAGGGGCTGAAATTCTCAAAAGATGGCGGTGTGCCCTTTTGTGAAAATGCTTCATCAAGGTTGCAAGAGGAAGGAGAAAGGTTGAATACGAATACAAAATCCAATGAACATCAGTTGGAAGACAATGAGGACGGCGACATTACAGATGATGCAGACGAAATTGTGGAAGATGATGGAGATGACAGTGATGTAGAAGGTGACGACTACAGCGATGATGGCATGATGGATCTATCAAACAAACCCAGAAAGCTATCTCAAAGCTCATCGAATTCCTTTAACAGCCTTACATCGGGTTATTCTAATATTAGCGGAGGAGATGAACTAAGGGATAGATCTGAACCGATAATTGATCAAAACAGATTGTCTGTTGCACGTCTTATACGTCGTTCTTCTCAACATCTTGGGAGGAAAGCTGCTCAAAAAATGGGAGACTATTTACCATCCCGATTTTCTTCTATTTTAGAGCCAACAAGACACTTTGCATCCTTGAAATTACAAACAATGGGAAAAGATGTAAAGTCAATTGCAATTATTGATGACAAATTCCAAGGGGACAAGAAGGTGTTTAATACTCCTCATGATGGTGACGGACCAGACGACTCCGCTAGTTCCACTTTTCCGTCAAACATTTCTCACTCAAACATGGATCCAAATATTATTCACATCAATGTGATAACTTCTGATGGTTATTATTACACATATGGGCTAGATACAGAGAGAGGGGGTGACTGTATTTTGCTTCATCAAGACTTCCTTCTTGATGACTAAAAACATGTGGTATTCTAGTAAGGTGGCCATTTCTTCACAGCTTTATGCACATCTATTTCTCGGAAAATAAAAAAGATTAGACCTAATATACTTTCCTGTGATGGTATGTGAAACAAAATTGTCGTTTCATTTATTAACCTGATGTCGCATAAGGATGCGGAGGGATTCAGTGGTATTGTGAAAGTTCGAGTTGACTGACGTGCAACAAACGGCCTTCCCCACCCCAAAAAAAATAAAAGGAAAAAAAGAATATAAGTCTTGAGTTTGAATGTAAAAGAAAAAATTTGTATTTAGAGATGTTTTTTCAAAGGATTCATCTAAAATAAAAGTGAATGGATAATTACATGGCTCCCCACAATCACCCTGCGTAACTGTTTGGCTCACGTGATCTGTTTGTCCTCAGAAAGATGTTTGATGTTACGTTGGAAACCATCTCCTCTCGGACGTGAAGCTAATGAACGAGGAATTGTCCCCTCAAACAATTACATTGGCCTTGATCATAAGGCTTTACTTATCAAATGATCTACCTGAAAGCAAATTTTTATTAAGTTTCATCACTCAATACCTAGAAGGATATCCGATTAGCGAGGACAAAGAGTATTCAGCCAACCCCACATTACTTTCTTTATGCTGTTCAATTCGCCGAACTTATGAAAATTATTGGCGAAATAATCTTACTGCAGATACTAAAAGGCAAAGAGAGTTATCTGTGGATGCATTTTGTCTAAAAATCCTTTCCATACTATGGAGTATTGACTCCGCTGATCTGTTACTTCTTATTGTGAATGATACGTATGACTTCGTTTCTCAAAGACTTACAATCACATATAGTGGTCTGCGTAAAGTCTCCCAGAGATCTGTCATTGGTCGGTTTGCTCAGAAGCTAGCAGTGTCAGCGAAGCTACTACATTTCGATGAAAGCTCCTCATTGTTTATCAATTTTTGCTTGTACCGCTCAACCACTCTGGATCATTTCAAAGAGCTAAAAAATACTTTCGACAAAAGTAAAGAAATTCACGATGCTAATTTTTTATCTTCGGTAGCCATTTATCAACTCGATGACGTTTCCGTGAGCTCGGACTCTCATGGGAACGCCCTGTCCCACGAGTCTCAAGATCATGTATTTTACAATACACTTAATTCAAAATTGGATTCTCTTAACTATGCTCTGACTGGGGACAATGGAACAAGAATCCAAAATTTCACACCTTCGTACGTGGAGTCCTTAGTGAATACTCAAATCCGACTTTTACAAAGATATGGATCTTCCACGCCAGCAGCCCTTTGGGTTGTATTTTCTCGTATGGTGTCCTGTGAGAATGAAATTGGCAAATATAATGAGTTTAATAACGGGGAGTTAACCTCCTTCTATTATCTCACTTATTTGGAAAATCTCCACTCCGGAGACTATAGAGGTGCATTCGACTCCTTGCATCGTTATTTTGATTACATGGTTTCAAAAGGATCGCGGTACTTCTATCATTTTGCTTTGATTTCAAAAGCTTCTTTGCATCAGTATTTTGGAGAGAATGAAAAGGCCCTTGATTCAATAGAAGAAGCAATTTCTGTTGCCCGCGAAAACAAAGATAATTCAACACTCACATTCATTTTATCTTGGCTTTTCGACTTTGTGAGGAAGAACCCTTCCTTGCAGGACACGAGAACATTTAGTCAAATCAAAAATCACCTGCAACTTCTTGATTCTCTTGTGCAAAAGTCTCTGAGCATATCCCTTCTGTTGGCAGCGATCAGTTATAGATATGAATCTGAGTTTTATCTCAACAGCGGGGCATGCTTTGCTAGATACTATGAAAGTCTCTTCAAATCCAACTACTTATCTATCAACGACCATGTTTCATCATTCATCGGTGGCTGTCATGCTACATCAAATTTGTGGGAGCTTGTTGGTTCACCGCATCTATCAAGTTTATACAACGATTTGGGTCTTCTCTACTCTGAGGAACATGGCACATCTTCTGATATGCAAGAGTTCAAGTTTCGAAAAGAAAAAACCGGTGGAAGGTACCACGATAAAGATATTTACAATTTTGATACTGTTGATGTCTCTGCAGGTCGAGGTTTACGTCACAAGCTACTTTTTCAGTCTGTTGAACACTCTTTGTTAAAAGGGCGACATCGATTAGCATACGAAATCTTAAGGTCATTACCTACAGATGACGACCTAGATCAAGACTCTCGTGTCGAAATGCTACGACTATCTGCGATAATCGAATCAGCTCATGGCAATCATGACGAAGCTTTGACGACATTAGACAGCCATTTAAACGGCACTTCAAAACAAAAGTTTCCCATGTATTCCCAGAAACTCTGCTTCTTAAAACTTAACATGGTTAAATCTCAAGTTTTGATACAGTCAGGAGTCCCATTTAAAGCCTTTTCGCTTTCTTTACAACTGATGGAAATTGCCAAATTGCTGGGATTTCTGAGCATCTCGCTACAAGGTTGCAGTCTATTAGTGCAAATTCTTCGCGTTTCGGGTAATACTTTGGATGCATACATGCTAGCGCTTTCAGCCATACCTTTGATCTTTTGCCTTGATAATGTATCAATGTCATCAACCATTTCGTACGATCTCGCGCGTTTATGTTTCGAGCTTCTAAAACACGATGGAACACCCCCACGTACCGCCAGGAAGGATCTTTTTGAGCAGTGTTTGAGTTCTTTAAGTATGAGTATCTCAGGCTTTAAGAAAATTGGAGATTTGCAGGGGCTTTCGAGATGTTTCGAGCTAGAGAGTGAAATATCAACACAAAGCTTCTCTCCAGTGGATTTACAAAACGCAAGTTTGCTTGATGACTTCAGCCAACATTCTCAAAAAGCACTCAAGATATTAAGAAAGCGAAAAAGTGAGGAAAGTAGGCACAGCTACGTGGAGGGGGGTTTGATGTGATGTATATGTTGACCGATGGTCCGTATGTAATTCAATGTCACGACTCGCTGTGACCACTTAGTTGGCTTTTGTCGATCTTTCTAATGCATCTTTTTCGGCCAATATCAAAGCGGCATTTTTCAATTGCACAACGTTTGCGATCTGCTTAAAAATCCAGATCGGGGCGCTCACCCAGCCCAAGCAAGTGCCCATCCAGAAAAAATTGTAATAATGCAAATAAGTTGCCATATAGAACAACTCGTTTACCAAGCAAACAAAAAACAAAACCTTTCTGTTTGTGTAATATAAATTCAAAAGCTTTGATTTTTCACCAACATTCTTATGAGAGGTGGATCCCGAGGATAACATGGCATACATATGCATGTAGTGAGATGACAAATCCAACGAAACAAGGAGTTGCCACATGACACAATACTGTGGGTATATTACGCATAGGTAGCATATCAATGATGATGTGGCGCATCTATCGGTAACCATATCTAGTACAGCACCAAATCTGGTACCTTGGTCAAATTTTCTGGCGGCGTACCCATCGAAAGCGTCGAGAAACCCTGATATCCCATAAAGAACCAGTGTCCACACAGGGTGATTTTTCATAGTAAGAAACGATAGAAATGCAGTTAAGACCCTGATATATCCAATCACATTCGGAATGAAACGGAACACATGCTGGACCGTAATTTTTTGATTATCAGCCATCTCCCAAACCTCAATGTTTATGGAATTTCTCTGTTTTTTGAAAGTTTTCAAACTGAAGTAAACACCCTGACTCTCTATTCTGCGAGATACCCTGATTTGAAGTGAATGGAAAGAATTGGGGTTATGCTTGACAACACTTTTTTTTCGAGTGCAGAGATTCTCATAGAGCAAAAGAAAAACCACAACATCCTGGACCAAGTAACTGCGCGCGATCGGGAGACCCGAAAATTGAGACTGGCCTACAGCAACCGCTCAAAAACAAGATCGAGCGTTTTTTATGGGGTGTTGGAGTATACTTCCCTTGTCCTTAATGAAAATTTCTTATCATCGAATTTTTTTTTCAATCTCTAGCGTGTAATGCGAGGGGAAGTGATGTACACTCGGTTCATACTAAAAAGTATATGCATTGGTCTCCGCGCCAAAACTTTAAATGCTTCACTTGTGAACCCACAATTGCTTGTGAGAAGAGGTCCGCATGCTCGGAAAACAAGGTAGAAAGAAATCCGGTACATGTAGTTCTTTTTTTAGCAAAGACATATAATAAGTGTGAGCATATTATCTCGGTGGATTGGGTTTCACATTTGTTATATTAGTTCTATTTTGCTGAAGATATATCAGGAAGTCGCTCTTTTCGCATCAATGGAGTGCGTACTTGCGAAACGGCAGCTTGTTTGAATTCATAACAGTGATTGAACGTGCCGCCCGCTCTATGCGTCATTGCTTAAGATCTTATATTCCCTCAATTGCAGAGATGCTGAAATCAAGAAGATAGCTTTGATGTGGCTAGGATTCGAGAGTACATTACTTTTTTGACACTATGTTCCAAAACTTTCCATGGTTCAAGGCAGCGCCTCAGGCAGGTTGTGCGCGGCAAGGGTTGGAAATTGTAGGAAGCAAAGGCTCTGTAAATCACGTGATACATCCGGGTAATCACCGAAGATCACACACGAGGCAAGAATCAAGCGCCATCCATTACGAAGCGAGTATACAGCATCGAAAACCAAAATCTTACACCTTCTACACTTGAACCATCGAATTAGCTACTCAAACAGACCTTTGACGAATACACTTCTGCAACACAATCAATCTCTGACTAAAAAATCATTTTGAAAAGAAAACAATGAGCAGCCCTAAACGAGGTAGTGTTGGTGATAAGGATGGGCTTCTTACGCCCACCCCCTCACACACACACGGAGTTAACACGAGAAAAAGAAGATCCTCTTCTTTGATTCAGCATCTTGAGCCTGATACATTGGACACGAAGATTGATCAGTCCTTGAATCCAAACTTAAATGCTGACTGGGTCCATTACAAAGGCGCTTGGGTGATACACATAGTTATCATCATATTTTTGATGTTATTTTATGATGTTATAACCGCTCATGACAATGACTGGAGATGGACGATGACCAATGTTACATACAACATTGGTTCATACATCATGTTTCACCAAGTCAAAGGAACGCCTTTCGAGTTCAACTCTGGCGCATACGACAACTTGACTATGTGGGAGCAGATCGACAATGGTGATCAGTACACGCCCACGAAGAAGTTTTTGATGATGGTTCCTATTGCGCTTTTTCTACTCAGCACGCATTACACAAATTATAATTTGTATCTGTTTACTATTAGCGGCATCAGCTGTTTGTGTGTGGTGGTACCGAAATTGGCAATCTCTCACAGATTACGAGTCACCCTATATTAGATGAATGTTTTTGTGCTTTTCGTGCCCAAAATTGTGACAGCTTTGTATCAAACCATGTTTATGCCAAATTTTCAGAACAAAGACTTTTCGAATATACTTATAGGATATGAAGTACTTGAATGACTTGCGCGCTCGCTCGCTGTAGTCATATTTCTCGGAGGAATCGAAAATGAACGTGACTCTGAAGCGCGAAACAGAGTCACTTTGCCTTCTCTATATAAATGCAAATGATTATCCTTCTTCGATCACCCCGTAGCAGTATCAACAACTAAAAATGTCGTACGCTTTATCCGAACAACACAAACACATGGTAGAAGGCCTGTTGGCTGAAACTGACCCTGAGGTTGACAGCATTATCAAAGCCGAAATTGACAGACAAAAGCACTCGATCGTATTGATCGCCAGTGAAAACTTCACAACCAAAGCAGTTTTCGACGCTTTGGGAACCCCTATGTGTAACAAGTACTCCGAGGGTTACCCAGGTGCCAGATACTACGGTGGAAATGAACAAATTGACAAGATGGAGATTTTGTGTCAGGAGAGAGCTTTGAAGGCGTTCAACGTCACTGCCGACAAATGGGGTGTGAACGTTCAAACTTTGTCCGGTTCACCTGCAAACTTGCAGGTCTATCAGGCTATCATGAAGCCTCATGAGAGATTGATGGGCTTGGACTTGCCTCACGGTGGACATTTGTCTCACGGATATCAGACAGATTCTAGAAAGATTTCTGCTGTTTCGACGTATTTTGAGACCATGCCTTACAGAGTAGACTTGGAAACGGGTTTGATTGATTACGATATGTTGGAGAAAACCGCTGTCTTGTACAGACCCAAGGTTCTTGTGGCTGGTACTTCTGCTTACTGTCGTTTGATTGACTACAAAAAGATGCGTGAAATCGCTGACAAGGTGGGCGCCTACTTGGTCGTCGACATGGCCCATATTTCGGGACTTGTTGCGAGTGGTGTGATTCCTTCTCCATTTGAATATGCTGATATTGTCACAACTACCACTCACAAGTCATTGAGGGGCCCAAGAGGTGCCATGATCTTCTTCAGAAGAGGCGTCAGATCTATCAACCCTAAGACAGGACAAGAGGTTTTGTATGACTTGGAAAATCCTATCAACTTCTCTGTTTTCCCAGGTCACCAAGGTGGACCTCACAACCACACAATTGCCGCCTTGGCTACCGCCTTGAAACAAGCCGCTACGCCCGAGTTTAAGCAATACCAGGAACAAGTTTTGAAGAACGCTAAGATTTTGGAGGCTGAGTTCATTAAAAAGGGTTACCGTTTGGTATCTGATGGAACTGACTCCCACATGGTTTTGGTCTCTTTGAAAGACAAACAAATCGATGGTGCAAGAGTGGAGACTATTTGCGAGCGTATCAACATTGCATTGAACAAAAACTCTATTCCAGGTGACAAGTCAGCTTTGGTTCCTGGAGGTGTGAGAATTGGCGCTCCCGCTATGACGTCCAGAGGACTTGGTGAGGAACACTTTGAGAAGATTGTCTCGTACATCGATTTTGCTGTGAACTACGCGAAGGAGGTGCAAGCCAACTTGCCTAAGGATGCCAACAAATTGAAAGACTTCAAAAACAAGATTTTGAATGGTGAGGACGAGAAGTTGGATGCCGTTAAGGCTGAGATCTCCGAATGGGCCGGTGCTTTCCCATTATCTGTTTAGAATGCTCTTAGACAATATTATTAAGAACGATGTTTTTTGTCACGATATATTTTATTACTCGTGGATTTCAACAGCCTACTTCCTTTATAATTTGCCCCCATACAATCCGCTGCTCGAATATGCACAGGTCTCTAAACCCCCTCCCCCTTTTATGGTCTACACTTAAAGTATGAGTATAATGCCTATTTTCTCGGTACGTTGTATGAAGCACTTCACTTTAAAAGGCAGAAGTTTCAGCCAATTGTCGAAAGTTTGGAGCGGGTTCTCTTTGAATTGGCTCAAAATATATTTGTATCAACGTGAAATACCCGTTTACGATCTGTCAAATGAAATTTGTAAGGGATCTTCTGAGCGCGGGGCGGAGTCTATTGGCCTAGTCGCAACTGCGGAGAAGCCTGACCGGGCGTAGTATATTTCTTGGTTTTTTGATAAACGCCTATAGCTTCTTATCTTGGATGAAGCTCATTCTCAAGAATATATAGCATATAAGAAACATTCTTGAAGATATGATGACATAAACCGATATCCAAAATTATAGCAACCCTTTTGTTCATGCATATATACCTTCTCTACATTGCCGCAATTTAACACACGGACACCCTATTTTTTATTCTTCTACGAAACCAGAGTATAACAGAAAGAATAATGTGTTCTCTCAATACAGATTTACAGAAGGCAATCGCTGATATTGAACAACTTTTTGAAGTTGACAAAGCCTTTCTCTGTAAGGCCACTGACCACTTTGTTAAATGTATGGATGCTGGGTTGACAAATGAAGTTCCTAACAGGGTTTATATGCCTATGTTACCCACCTTCGTGACCTCCATCCCGACAGGAAAAGAAAATGGCTTATTTTTGGCAGTTGACTTGGGTGGAACTAATTTCCGAGTCTGTTCAATAGACTTGAAAGGTGATCACACATTTGAACTAAAGCAATCAAAGTTTCCTGTCCCCATTGATTTGATGAGAGGTTCCACGTCAGATTTGCTTTTCTCTTTCTTCGCCGAAAAAGTGAAGAACTTTTTGGAAGAACATCATGAAGAACTTGATGAGTCGATTACTTTGAAAATGGGATTCACATTTTCCTTCCCTGTGGACCAAACAGCAATTGATAGTGGCAAATTGATTCGCTGGACGAAGGGTTTCGATCTACCTGATTGCATAGGTTGTGATGTCGTAAAGTATTTTCAAAAACACTTGGACTTGTTAAATTTACCGGTAATGATCACTGCGTTGGCAAATGATACAGTTGGTACCCTACTTTCGAGAGCATACACCAACGATAGATCGGCATCTAAGTCAAGAACACTTATTGGTGCTATATTCGGCACAGGAACAAATGGGGCATATTTCGAATCCATATCAAACATTCCCAAGTTGTGTGGAACGAGCTTTCCGGAGTTGGCCACCGGAATGGTAATCAATACGGAATGGGGCTCTTTTGACAACTCTTTGGACATTTTGCCGTCAACAAAGTACGACGAGCTCGTTGACCAGAATACATCAAATAAGGGGTATCATTTATTCGAAAAAAGAATTAGTGGTATGTTTTTGGGGGAGATTTTAAGGGTCATTTTGATTGATTTGTTTGAACGAGGCTTGATTTTTGTGGAATTGTTTCGATCGAGAAACGGATCGTTGCCACATAGGTTGACGGAGCCTTTTTTGCTCTCGTCCAAGGTTCTATCATATTTGGAAATTGATGACTCAACTGATCTTCATATGTCCGAACTACTCTTACAGAATGAGCTTAGACTCCCCACTACATATTCTGAACGGCTCTTGATACAGTCGGTAACCCGGGCTATCTCAAGGAGAGCTGCATACCTCTCTGCAATTCCATTGGCTGCTATTGTGAAGAGAGTAAAGGGACAGTATTCGGATGAAGATGACGATTTCGAAGTAGGTTGTGATGGCTCTTTGATTGAGCACTACCCAGGATTTAGAGACAAGATCCTTGAAGCTTTCAACACGATCAATCCGTTGGAGGGGTGCTCTAAAAAGCTCCATATTCGAATTGCAAAAGATGGTAGTGGAGTAGGAGCTGCGTTGTGTGCAAGTACAGTTGGAAAATCATGATCTCAGAATTAGGAGCACAATTCTAAGTGCATGAAGTACTCGGTTGAAGATCATATTGCAAATTTTTACTTAACTATTTTCGTAGCTCAAAATAATGTTCCCTAGGAGTGCTTCTTGACATTTAAAACATTGGACCTGTTGATAGCTCTTGTTCACAACATTGCTAGTGACTAGAACTTGATACATTGTGCATTCCAACCTCATTTTCCGAGACTTTATTTGTAAGTTTCGAGAAGTAATTTTCGAAAAAGGGTGCCTCCAGCCAATCTCGTTGCACGCCAAATCAGTTAACAGGTTTACCGAAAAGAATTTCAACAGGTCAAGTTCCAAATCTTGTTCTTAAAAATTAAGAAATTAAGAAAATAGTGCGCGAATATGTGAATTGCGATTATTAAAAATTTAACTGAAAAATGTAATGACACATTTCAATAGATGGCGTCACAAAAAATTTCATACTATCCAAATAATGCAAAATTTAAGCAGGAGATGAACATTGTGAATCGTTGTTGAAGGTTGAATTCTCGGGCATTCTTGATGACGGAGTTGCTAAGTGCATTGTTTCAGAAACCTGCATTCATAAATACCAGACAGTAATGTACGCGAAGTGTCGCAACTACCAGCAAATGGTCATAATTAACCGAAAGAAGATGAAAGGGGACAAATCCTGGCAAGAGAAACACAAAACGAAATAAAAAAACAAAAAAAAAGCAGCTTGCATAATGGGCAATCGACATGATTTAAACAAATACACTATATCTTATCTCGTGTTAGATCGCAGAGACTGGACAGCCTGTAGTTGGTGATGAAACAACTTGATACCGTACTTGACATCGAAAAGCCTAAACCCTATAAGGCATCACTCCACAACAATATAAAAGAACACATACTCAATACAAAACAACCTATAATTACCGTGCGAAATTTTCTGAACTCGAATTATGCATGAATCGGAGTCATACTACTTCTTTGGGCCAGGTTTGAAACACAATTCATCTTTTTTTATCAACAAATATCTTTGATTCAGTGAGCTCTAGAAAAAGTAAACCACTAAATGTAAAGAAAAAAAAACCGACTTCTAATTGCCCAAGATCCTGGGTTCAGGGTTGGTAGGGGCGTCATAATTGTTTCAAGATGAATGAAATCAGTTCTTAACAAGGCTGAAGCTACTCATCCGGCTCGCTCTCTTCGACCAAGCGAAAATTTAAAACAAGCCCGTATATTCCTTCTCGTAAACTTGAATTGACACTCTGCTTTATTGTCCAATTGATGTTGTCTAGTTTATCATTGGCAAAACGTAGAATATTGACGTCAAAAGTTTTTTTTCCAAATGCAGGTATGGAAACATTATAAGAAGAATCTCCTAGTTTCAAAAAGTTTGTGTCAAACATCATGTAGTAACTTTTTGATTTTTCGAAATTAAATTTCTTCGAATGGTCCACGTTGCAAAAATATTTGCGACGCTCGTGTATGGAGGCCAACGGTGGTACCTGCTCGTTCCATTCCAAACTATCATTTTCATTACGGATGAAGTCTGCAGCAGAAACATCCGCGGTTCCTAGTTTAGAAAAACTGTTCAAAGCTAAACCGTAGATAAAAGGACTCTCTCCATACAAATCAGATTCGATGGTGGGGTTCAAGAACCATTTAAAAAGCCGAAGACCAGTGGACATTAGAGTTGCAGGTACGTAATCCTTGACTGAGACTGGACATTCGTTACCGAAGAATAAGTTAGAGCCATTTATATTTGAGTTTGGGATATATTTCACCAAAATTCTCAAGTTCGGAAGCTCAGATTGCGTTGAACTCTGATCCTGCACATGTGTTCCATCAAGGTATTTTTTGTCAAAGGCATTGTATAAGCTGTTGCTCTTGTGTTTACTACTTCCCTCGAAGTTACGAATGAATACACTCACAGAGAAAGTGCCTAACTCTGTCGATACCTCAACTGGGTTTCCGGTGTTAACAGGAACGGTTATATCCTGATGTTGTAAAGATCCTACCTGAATCAACAACTTCTTCTTTACACTCATGGTGTTTGTGGGAAAACGTTGTCTGGTAACCCTTTATGTGTATCATTTGCGGTTCACCCTGCAGTACGTCACAATTGAGCTGCGCATTTTTGCTGTGGATTGGTCGCCGAAAAATCTCCGCTATCGGCGATAAAATGATTATTCAATCTGGCGTAAAATTTCTCAAATTCCCCAATTAGAATAAATACCAGTTTTCGCTGAGATCCAACTTTTTTGATACCCGATTAGGTCCAAAAATAAAAAATAGGTACGATTTGAATAACCAATATGTGAGTAGAGCAAGAATGAATGTTGCTGTCTCTAGTAAGCAATTGTTTGACAGTCATCGAGCTTCGATGGAATCGCGCTCTCGCCCGGCAACATGTGAGTAAATCCCCAACATCTTATTAATGGTGACTGCAGCGAGTGACTATGGTTGCGTGCACTCCTCGAGATATCGTAATATATAACGGACGAACGACCTCCTTGCGCGGACGATTAGTAAGTAATTCGTTAAAAATGTCTAACTCTTTGGAATCATTGAAAGCTACTGGTACCGTTATCGTCACCGACACTGGTGAATTTGACTCAATTGCCAAGTACACCCCTCAAGATGCTACCACTAACCCATCTTTGATTTTGGCCGCTTCCAAGAAGGCAGAGTACTCCAAGGTCATCGATGTTGCCATCAAGTACGCAGAAGACAAGGGAAGCAACCCAAAGGAGAAAGCCAGCATTGCTTTGGACAGATTGTTGGTGGAGTTCGGAAAGGAGATCTTGCAAATTGTTCCTGGCAGGGTTTCCACTGAAGTTGATGCGAGATTGTCCTTCGACAAGGACGCTACTATCGACAAGGCTCTTAAAATCATCGACTTGTATGAGTCCATTGGTATCTCTAAGGACAGAATTTTGATTAAGATCGCCTCCACGTGGGAGGGTATCCAAGCTGCAAAGGAATTGGAGGCCAAGCACGGAATTCACTGTAACTTGACTTTGTTATTCAGTTTTGTCCAAGCTGTGGCTTGTGCCGAAGCTCAAGTTACCTTGATCTCCCCCTTCGTCGGCAGAATCTTGGACTGGTACAAAGCTTCCACCGGAAAGGAGTATGATGCCGAAAGCGACCCTGGTGTTGTCTCCGTCAGACAAATCTACAACTACTACAAGAAGTATGGATACAACACTATTGTCATGGGTGCTTCCTTCAGAAACACTGGTGAGATCAAGGCTTTAGCTGGCTGTGACTACTTGACAGTTGCCCCTAAGTTGTTGGAAGAGTTGATGAACTCCTCTGAGGAAGTTCCTAAGGTTTTGGATGCCGCTTCTGCCAACTCCGCCCCTGAATCAAAGGTGTCTTACATTGACAACGAGAGTGAGTTCAGATTCTTGTTGAACGAGGATGCCATGGCCACTGAGAAATTGGCTCATGGTATTAGATCTTTTGCCAAGGACGCCGAGACATTGTTGGCTGAGTTGGAGAGCAGATTCAAGTAAATCATTTGTATACCATTTAAATACTCGTTAAGATCGTGATAGAAACTACCTGAAACTTCCTTCAATAGCTATTAGGAAAATACTTTGTACTCCCGCGTAACCTGGCCATTAGTTTCCGGGCATCATTGCACTTTTCATACTGATCTTGTGTGCTCAGCACATAAGCTTTAATATGTCAGCGAGCGCCTTGTTGCTTTGGCTTCAAGTGCAGTATCATTGAAAGGCACCCCTCCGGCATGGAAGCAATTTCTCGACTGTAGTCTGAGACTACAGTCCACCTTTCGGACAATTCGAAAGAGTATAAAAAACTCACAAAGCATGCGGCCAGAGACAGTTATTCCGACTGAGTTGTGCTCACCATATCCTTTTTTCTATGACGCGAAAGTAGTCAGTGGATTCGGTAGAGGCTCCTCTGAACTCGGCATACCAACGGCAAATATACCTGTCGGCAAATTAGACACACTCGAAGCTGGTATCTACTTCGGCTGGTGCAAACTTGCCCGAAATGAACGCTTGGAATATGATGTTGCCGAATCAAACGGAAAAAGCATATCTTTTAACAATGGCCTGAGACTCAAAGGGAAAGACCTTGAAGTGCTACCTATGGTCATGTCCATAGGATGGAATCCATTTTACGAAAATAAGAAAAAAGCAGCAGAGGTGCATATTCTTCACAAATTCGATGACAATTTTTACGGGGCTTCGATAAAATTAGTCATTTTGGGATACATACGCCCGGAGCTAAACTACACAACGAAAGGTACGTGTGTTTCGATCAACATATACTTCAAACATCGTGACGATACTAACAGATTTAGAGGCTTTAATTGAGGATATACATAAAGATACAGATATAGCAAGAACGGCTTTAGAAATCTCTCCCTACGATTCATTCCGCATCATATTGACTGACGAGAGTCTATGCACATCGACTGAGTCGTCATGGAAATGAGTTATTCTGCAGGTTTGAGATCAAGGGGCAATAGTATTATTGAAGAGGATAGATAGCTTGACTTAGAACAGAACATAACAGTAATATAATGGACATACCAATATGTGACTTTGGAAACCACCTCAATATTTCCATGTGCGAATACTTGTCAATTGAATGCGATTATACCTATTACTTTATCGCTCGTAAGTTGTTTTGTTCCCAGTCATCCCAGTCCGTTCTTTTGATGACTCTTTCAACTGGCATAATATTGTGCGTTGTGTTTCTAGTTCTGATAATTGGTGTCACTCTGTCCGAATATCTTCTACACTCTGCTATAAATTTGAGTGAGAAACTCAATTTGAAACGTGAATTGTTGAGTTATGTGGTCGTACCTTTAATGAACGGGGCGCCCGACATATTAAATTCCCACTTGATGATGAAGGGTGAGTCCATTAATTTGGTAATTGGACAGATCATTGGGGCCAATATTATTTCTTTCACATTGATAGTTGGCTATATTTCAATTGTAAGACCATTCACGGTTGCAAGTAAGCACACTCTTGTTTTGGGGTATTGTTTTGTCTGCATAATGATTATCATGTTAAGCTATATGCTTTGGGATGGCAGAATTACGATTCTTGAATGTTTACTTCTAGCTTCGCTTTACCCCGCTCAGATAGGGTTGGTTTTTTTCGATCAATCAATGGAACCATTGTCAAGCGATATAGAGTCACTGATTTCAAAAGATGACGACTCAGAAATTAGCCGTTTGTTGATGAACCGAAATGAAAACGAAGAGCCAGCTGTTTTAAAATCGAATTCTACCCAACAACAAGGAGTATTGATGACACAAAGCAGACTCTTGTTTCTAGTCGACCATACAATATTTTTCCTATTGCCAGTTTCAAATGCAACATTATCCCACTCAACCGTGCCTGCAAGCTCATTCAAAAACTTTCTAAAATCAAGCATGTGTTTTCACCTTTGGCACGTTGTTGTTACCGCAATTTTGTGGAATATTCTGACAGCAGGTCTTTCGGTTAAAGTTTTGTGTTGTCTAGTATGTTTAGTATTTAGCGTCTCTAGGTTGCTTAACTGGACTTTAGCGCCTACAATGAAGGACTCATTATTGGATGTTCTTTGCACTTTGAACTCTTTTATGATGATGACGGTGATAACAAAAATGCTTATTTGTCTTTTAAAAAACTTCGGGGTAATGTGGCAAATCTCGGAATATATTATGGGTTTACTAGTATTTTCATTAGTCAGTTCGCTAAATGACATATTGATGAATACCCTGTTAGCCCTTAATGTATCCCTGATTCTTGGGATAAAAGCATGCATGAGCTCTTGCTGTCTCCTAGTTCTGATTGGAATTGGATTTAACGGCCTATGGGAATTGTCCACGATTGCTCTAGAAACAGGAGAACTTAAACCATATTCGTCTCTTCATGTTGAATTAACCTGGGAGCTTTATTCGAGCTTAATGACCTTAAACATCACTGTTTTATCAACTTTGGTATACTTGATCTGCAACAAGTGGAGGTTGGATAGGAATCTTGGCGTATTGCTCATAAGTATTTGGGTCATTGCAACGGCCGCCTGTATCTTAAAGGAGGCTTTTTAGATTCATGGACGTATTCATGCAAACTTTGATGGTATTTGTACATTCTCGAGATCCTCCTCATTTGTGACCTTCCGGAGTGTTTTCCAAAAGAATTTGTTGTCTTTCAAATTCAACAAGATGGCTAGTTTGCCATGTTCTGTATCTAAGTCTTCCTTAACGTATTGGAGGAAAAAATTACTGAGAGCTGCTTTCGAAACTGGGAACTTCGAAAGTATCTCGAAGAAAACAGGACACTTTGTGGCTAGCAACATTTCATGAGCTAAGGAACACAAGTACTCCTCATCATTCGGGTTAACAAGTGCTTCAATTTGCATGAGCTTTTCAAAAATCCGATACAGCACTTCGCTGTTTACCAGGATGTACCTGCAAATGAGATCTTTGGCCATTAAGATACAACCAGTTGCAATTTCGATATCAGCCAAACAAATAATCAAGTCAACGCTCGCCATACGAGCTTTCATGGGTAATGACCTCCGTATCAAATTGCGCGCTTTGTTGATTTTTCCCTTATTGATGCAAAAGTTGGCATACATCAAGACAATACTATGATGATTTCCAGTGCTGAGTAATGATCTTTCGAATATCTGCACAACGTATTCATAAGGAAACGAGCATTCAACGAATGCCAAGTAGTTGTACCAAGTTTCTAGACGATCAAGGGAAACAGAAGCCACATTTTGGTTTCGTGAAGTGCCTGCGATGAGTCTCTCGTAAGCGAATAACTCAAGACTTTGTGCCTGATTGACAATATATGCATCAGCTAGGAATCGCTTTATTGCCTCGAGTATGAGCTTTTTGTTATTTTGGGTCAGTTTTTTCAAGGCTTTGAGGTTCGTGGCATTCATAAACGAGGATATATCATCGATAGTCACACTTGGGGAAGACACAAGCTCAAATATCAAATCAAAAGCAGAAGAATAGTTGTATAAGGGAATTTCCAACATGATTCGAAGCAAAAAGATGGACTTTCTTGTAAAACCATTCTTCTCATCAGCGTATGTGTTTAAAAACTTGAGATATAGCTGGTAGAACTCAAAACTATGGTAGTGATAACCAATCTTGGAGCGTGCTGCCTCAAAAAGCAGTAATATCTGATCAACGTTATTGGTGAGTGTTTCAATCTTGAACTGAAGATAGGAGATCCATAATGTAATATCGTGACCACCAAAGTCAAGCGCTCTCAAGAATACAAGTTCAGCCTTATCATTTTCGTTAAATTGCCTCTCCCAAAGTGCATACGCAATCCAGTACTTCAAAAGAAAAGGGTGTCTTTCAAGAAAGGCGTCGTAAGATTTTCTCAAGTTTTGAACTGCGATGTGATTCAGGGTTTTGTTGATCAAGCCCTCTTGAGACTCTGCGCAATGAATCAAACTTTGCCATAGGTGCAAATCATGAGGATTCTTGAGCAAAGAGAGTGACACAGAGTTCCAGTCATCTTGTTGCACTGTCATTGTCGACACAACTACTAGCCGGTTGTGATTTACGCCGAACGGTGATGAGTTTGTTTCTAGTTATCTTCTGAGGTACATGCAGTGAGGTCTTTCGCTCGCCGACCTGCACTTGTATTTTTATTCTCAGGACAACCAAACCGGGCAATGGCTATCAAGAAAACTAAAACTTGCTTTTAGTTTCGCAGTTACAGGTTTCGAAGCCAGAGATGGTCAGTGATTTGGAAACAGACTTCATCACATTTCGGTGGTCTACGAAATTTGCCTTGTCTCAAGCCAACTTTACTAGTGAAAAATATATTAGTATATATTACTAAAAATGCGCCGAAATGCAGCGAAAGCCCCGAGCAGCAAGATCAGTAAAAAGTGGATGGAGCAGTGTACTGGTACAAGTTCTTGGACTTTTGGACTCTGTGTGGCAATGGGAATTTCAAGTCCTTGGTCAAGAATTGCTTAACGTATTGTCTCTTGACGTCGTCGGTCTTCTCCAACTCGACAACCTTCAAGATGTGGATGTTTCTAAATCTGGCTCTGTGTCTAGCAGCCAAATCTTGGTACATGGTCTCAACGGCACCAACTCTGGTGACGTCTCTGTATTCCTTGTACATGTTGTGGATACCAGATCTAGACTCGTATCTGATCCAGACACCAAAGGTCTTGACCTTGGTTGGGGTCTTCTCGGAAATGACGTTGACAGAGACAATCTCACCGGAAGCCTTCTTGGCCTTGTACAACTTTTGCAAGAAGTACCAGTAACGAGACTTGGCAACCACAGTGTTAGGAGCAAAGATTCTCATTCTGAACAACTTTGGCTCTGGCACGTTCTCGGTAGGGAGACGACGGCCGATAATTTGATACTCGTTCAATCTAGACATCTGAATATGTTAGTACCCTTATTCATTGGTTTTGTATATTTGTGTGTGGTCCATAGTCAGGGAGAATAAATATGATTTGAACGGTACATGTTCTTTTCTTCCAGCTACGGGGCAAACCAGATAGGTATTTTGGGACCGTGGTAGGAAATGGTGCTAAGAAGCTGTGGAGTGATCCAGATCAACAAATTAAATCGTGAGGGTATTGGTCTTACATACCTTGTTCTTGAGTTGGCTAAGTGTTCAAACAGAAGAAAAAGAACCGATAGCTCAGAAACCGAAGGCCTACGATGTTGCACACTCAGTGCGAAAATTTTCACAGCTACTGGCATACAGGACAGAGAGCCTCATGCGGAAGAAAGTCGTCATAATGTCGCGTATCACAGGAATGTCGCGACACGGTGGGTGCGCTTGGCTCAATGGAGACATGTGATTAGTAGGGTTTCAGCCCTAGCCAAACGCTCGTGATGGTTGGGCGTATTAGGTGAAAGTGCTACACGTTTTGTGTGGATATCTCTGTAATTACTATTTAACCTTTGTGATGGATTTTTCGGACTTTGTGTTCTTTTTCGACATTCTGTCTTTCTTGGCATGAGAACCTGACTCTGTGTTCAAGAAATAGTCGAACCACGTGAATGAGCTGGCGTAGTTGCCAATAAAGTAGTGGTGGTGCAAGTCATGATGAGCTGCTCCTGCCCAAAAGGGTAGGAAGTGATGCAAAGACCACGGAAAATCATAGCCCGAGTGTGAGTCCACTGCTTGGAACAATCTCAAAACAATCCAGCACGTGATGGTGAACAAGTGTAGGACTGGAAGCTGGAGTTCGGAGAATGTCGCAGCCATCCATGCGTATGCGATAGGAAATCCAATGGTTCCAACACCCAACGCCATTACCTCGGCAGGGTGGGCATATTCAGCTGCGAACCCAAAAGGAGCTGCGTACTTGTGGTGTTGCTTATGGATATTCTTGTAGAACCATCCAATATGAAATAAACGATGAAAGCAATAATGCCACAAATCTTCGAGAAAGAAAAAGACGGCAATTTGAGAAGCCATGATCGACACTGAAGGGAATGGTACCTCGGTCGAAATTTTAAGCGTGGAACAGAGTGGGTGAAATAACCAAATTGGTAGCGCCTCCACAAGAAAATGTGATTTCAAAACCGACTTAAAGCACTCCCATTGCTCTTTATTTGATGGGATTTTATCCGGTTGAATTTTCCATTTGTTAAAGAAAGAAATCTGGTCAATGACAAACCAGGGGAGGCATCTGCCAAAATATGTAATTTCGTGGACCAAAAAAAACAAGAGTCCTGTGGCTAAGATGTCATTGTCGAAGTGCAGATACCATGCGGCCCATAGATTCTCCAAGTAGTTCAAGGATTTATCCTGAGTATAATTTGCAAAGATTCCAAGAGACATAATTCCGGGGAACACCTTTCAAACCAGCTTCAAAGCGTACTACTCTATATCTATATATGGCGCCTGCCTTATGGCCCGATGTTTGTATCAGCAGTGTTTATATATGCATAACTCCGAAAGATCAGCCCACACTCGGTCACGCCATTGTATACGGAATCAAAGCGCGTCGTGTGCGCGACTGAATCGTATAGTTGAGGTGTCAGGATACGAGCGCGTCGTTTAGGAGAAAGGGAGGGTACGACTTATTTGTTTGGTGGCCGGGTTCGACCCAATACTAGTCAATTCAATCTGTTTCTTGATAGGAGCTTGAAATACTGGGGTCTCGCAATCTTCTTGCTAGACACATGAAATACACACTATTGCTTACACCGGGTTGGAAATAGATTATTCGTTTTATCAAAACTGAATGTGACCCGCAGCATCAGCCCAATGCAAGCATGAGAATCGGCATTTCAATATTCAGTCATGGTTGAAGTATTGCACAAATCATGCTGGAGCGCAACGCCTTAAAACAGCTCAATATGCATATATTCCATCTAATGTTCTCCGAACATTCTGTGCATCAATATTGGTGCAAATGTCGACAATAAATCATTCTTTCTATCGTGCAAAGTTTAAAATTTATTAATTGATGAGACTATAATTATGGCCCATTATACCACTCTTTCCTTTGGTAAAATGTCAACAAGCAAAGATTGCTTGATATTGCCCAAGTTCAATTCATTGTTAGATCTGTAGTGTTCAATGTTGGTGAAGAATTTGTCAAACAAAAAGCTTGTGTCCAAAGGTCCGCCCTTGGCCTCGGGGTGAAATTGTGTGGAAAAAATTGGTTTGGACTTGTGTTGCATTCCCTCATTCGACAAGTCATTTAAATTAGTGAAGTAAGGAAGCCAGTCCGATGGCAAGGTTGAAGCATCGACAGCGTAACCATGGTTTTGGGAAGTAATATGGCATTTGCCAGAAAGCAAATCCAATGCAGGGATGTTGTGAGCTCTGTTACCGTACTTCAATTTGACAGTCTTTGCACCAGAAGCCAACGCCAACAACTGATGACCCAAACAAATTCCAAAAATAGGCAAGTCCTCATGCTTTTCCATCACAGTCTTGAGGTGCAGAATGGTAGACGAGCAGTGCGTTGGGTCTCCGGGTCCATTTGAAATGAAGATTCCATCGAATTTGTTTGCGATTTCCAGAATAGGATAGTCGTATGGGAAAACGGTTAAAGATGCACCTCTTTGCACGAGACATCTCAAAATATTCTCTTTGGCACCACAGTCAAGCACGGCTACGTGATAGCCCTTGTCGTATTTGTCGGGGCATGAAACGTGGAATGGGGCTTTTGTGGTGACCTTACTCACCAAGTTGACAGCTCCTGGATCCTCAAAAGCAGCATCTTCGTCAGCGTCATATTCCTCTCCGATGGTGATTTTGGCCAAAGACGAGCCTTTGTCTCTTAAGTAGGTAACTAATTGTCTAGTGTCAACACCAGTGATTGCGGCGACCCCAGATCTCTGGCACCATTGCTGAAGAGACTCGACAGCTGTCCAGTGTGAGTACTGCATGGCAACATCAGCCACAACGATACCGATACATTGAACCAGAGAGGATTCAAGATGTTTCAAAAGGTTGTACTCATCCTTTGCAGTAGAAGAAGGAACCCCATAGTTTCCGATCAAGGGTTGCGTGAAGCACAAGATCTGACCTTTGTAAGATGGATCAGTCATTGATTCTGGGTAACCGACCAAAGAGGTGGTGAAGACAGCTTCACCACTTATGTTTTTATTGGCGCCAAACGAGTAACCATTGAACACGGGTCCGTTTTTGAGAGTAAGCGTAGCCCTATCCAACAGTGACGTGCTGGAGAAAGTTGCAGATTTGTTTGTTGCGAGAGTGCGCTTGAACACTAAGCTAGAAGCAAGTTTTCTTCCAAAATTGCCAAGCATTTTGTTTTTTTTTCTATAATTTGCTTTCAGATGGAAAGAAAAAGAACACTAGTCTTATACTTGGTGAAAATTTCTGACTCAAAGATAACTCACCGCGGCATCGACAGATGATTACCATATCGGGAAGGCGCGAGAATTTTTTTATAGCCAATCAAATTAAAGGGGAGGGTGACATCATGGGGCAAATGACTAACTTCCGGGCTTCGCAAGTCTGCGACCTGAGAACCATTAGCATTATATTGATGGTCGTAATTAGAAGAAAAATCTTACTGCCGCAGTCAAAAATGTATTTTCTGGCTTAGACTTTGATCAGAGGGAAGCATCACATACTTGTTCCCTCAAAGCGGCTATTGCAAGAGTACAATCTGACTGCACATTCTTTCATTTCGTTTTCAACTTACTTCGCGGGTATGCCTCAACCAACGGTGTTTCCCTTTCTTCGTGCACATAACATTTTTGAATATATTACCACTGTAGTAGCGGTGGCAAACACGCGTCTCACTAGGCACTCTCACAGTCTGAATATCGCTTGTCGAAGTCTCAAAAAATGACACCAGTTAATATTCCAGGAAAATTTGGCTATGGATCTATGTCATTGACATGGACGCCGACCCCTAAAACAGAAGCTGAGGCGATCCAGGCCATCAAGTATGTGCTTGACAAGCATCAAGTGAGGTTTGTAAACGGCGGCGAGTTTTACGGCCCTGACTCTGTCAATTTGAAATATTTAGGGGCATTTTGGAAACATTTCGGATGTGATTACCCCGATCTTGTGATCAGTGTGAAAGGGAGTATTGATGTGACCACTTTAAAGCCTGATGGCTCCAGGGAATCAATCTCACGTTCCATAAATAACTTTGTTTCTTACTTCCCCCAGAATAAATTGCAAAGACCCAAGTTGATTTTTGAGATTGCTCGCGTGGACACGAGCGTCCCATATGAACAAACGATAGGATTCATCAATGAATTTGTTGGGGATGGAGTCATCGATGGGATTTCGCTTTCTGAGGTTGGAGTAGGCTCCATTGAAAAGGCATTGAGTGTTGCTCCTATTAGCAGCGTGGAAGTTGAGTTCTCTCTCTTGTGTCAGGATATTTTTAGCAATGGGGTTTTGAAGAAGGCAGCGGAAGAAAATCTCACGATCGTCGCTTACTCGCCTTTATGCCGCGGGTTCTTGACTGATCGGTCGGCCGATGATTTTTCTGCGTTCTTCGATTTGTGTCACCAACCTGGAGATATTAGAGGACACATTGACAGATTTTCCAAAGAGAATTTCTTCGAAAACCTGAAAATTGTTGCAAAACTAAAAGATTACGCTGAAACGAAGGGGACTACGCTCGAGTCATTGGCTATTTCATGGATCGTAGCTTATAGTGAGCTCGAGAACTACAATGGGATATCGAAATTTCCAAAGATTATCCCAATTCCCAGTGGAAGCAGTTCTGATAAGATTGACCAGAACTTGGGCCAGATAGTTTCCTTGAGCAAAGCCGATTTAGACGATATAAAAAAGATAACAGACTGTTTTGAAGTAAAGGGATACAGATATAACGCGAAGGTTAAACATCTTGACTTTGCATGAGCCCTGGAATATCTATATGCTATATATAAGTAAATGGCTTGTGTGGCTTTGGCTGAGACTTCGGTTTTCAAAACAGGATAAGGCTGGTACCGAACAAATTTATGAACCATACTTAAAAATTCGCGTTTGAAAGAAAATACAATTTGCAGCACTCGAAATAAGGTCTGCCTTTCTGTCATCGTACCAAGTGCACAGCTCGCGGTTCTTGGAAAAACTCTGGATCTCATAGTGATGAATTGTGATACATGGCGGTCAAAAGTGTGTTTCTTAGTAGTACCGCGTGTTCAGCCGGCGAAGCAAATACAACAAAAAAAAAACGGATGTCAAATTTGAAGATCTAGCCAACAAGAACTGGTACCAGCATCTTAATGACATTCTGTGAATCTTCGCCTCCTTTGAACTTGACGTAAACTTGAATTGAGTAAACTCTCCCAACGAGACAGCTTTGGAAGCTTGGGGGAAGTGTTATATTGTTTTTATTCAAAACCTTGATGGGAACCTTCAATGATTTTGACCAAAGCACAGTGTCGAAATCGACCTTTTCGCCCGTCCAATCCTCATTGCCGAATTGGGAAGAAGAATGTATGTTTTGAAGATATTCCTTTAGCGTATCCTTTTTGATACCCATGTTGCTCAAACCCTTTAAGTAAGAGTAGGTATTCTGTGAAATGAACGTTTTGGTCTCACGTAAAAACGAAATGTAATGGTTCACAGTCTCTTTCAACTTCAGCAAATTTTGTTTCGTTATTTCAACATCGTCATGCTGGATAACCGCCCCAGCAACATGAGGCTTAGTATAGAAGAAGTCATGTTCAAATGAGAGGGGAATCGGATAGTCAGTTCTGTATGACCATGCAACGACTTCTAGATCAATCAGTGATATGATCGGTGGTCTGGTGTTCTCCAAAGTTGTCTTGAAATATAGCTGGATGTCAATATCCGTGATAACGCTGTTATCAGTACGATTATACAATACCAGCATGTTGCTATTCACAGGGTGAAGCAGAAGGGGCTCATCATTCGGGGAAGCCAATTGAAAGGAAGCAGATGATCTCTTTCCATCATTGTATTTTTGGATTAATTTGGGGGACCCGTATGGCAAAAGTTTTTCTGGCACCCGAAGACAAAGCATCATCTGACCAACCTTACACACGGACAGAAGTAGCCTTTTCTTCTTTTTTGCATAAATGTCGATACTCTCATTAGAGAAGACGATATTATTAGCTTCCATATTCCTGATTATTGCTTCGGAAAAGAAACGCGGTGAGCCGTTTGTTGTGGCAGGATGAATTCTGTTGTTAAAGTCAACATTTACACGACTTGCGAAAAGATGCTTCCGCTTGAGTTCCTCATCTTTGAATTCTCGTTTATCTAGGGCAGATTGGATTTCTTGTTCTATGGTCATATTCATACGTTCTATGAATTGCCATGTCTGTCTTTTAGCGAGTCCAGAATAGAGAACTCCGTCGATACCAATCGAATCAAACGTATCATATCCAAAGGCACTGAACGCCTTACTGTAAGCTGAAACTTGACCATTGACATCTGGAATGTACCGCAAGAAAAACTGAGCACTCTGAGATACCATATACTGCAGAGGATTTTGCGGATCGTTAACATCTTGAGTAGAAAAAGGGACACGTTGATCTTTGGCATGTAATTTATCAATGAACTTTGCATCAATTGTGTATGATACACTGACATCGTCAAAAGAGTAGTCTTTGAGCTTCATCGGAGAACCTCTTGAGTTCAAAAACCCATATCCCAAAGCTTTGTTTATTTCAATCGTACTGGCTCTTCTGTAAAAGGCAGTACAATCTAGACCAAAGGATGGCGGTGGCATGGTGTGCCGCACCACACCATGAGGACACGCATTGTCCAAGAGCATTTCAGGGAACTTGAACATGACAAACTTCTTGTACCTTTCTTTTGGCTTCAAAATTCTATCATTAGGCAAACCAATGATACAGCCATCATATTCGTCTCTCGACAAGAAATCATATTCTATGCCAGCAGAGCTTGGAATCAAACCCTCATTATAGCTGGCATTCAAATCATACATTTTGAGAAGCTTTTTCTGTAGCACGGCTCGAGGCTTCATCAAATGCCCCTTAACCGAGGCGTAGACTGCCTTCACAGTACACTCCAAACTCACGGTGAAAAGACCAAAATCCACAGACTCATCCAGGTTGTTTGTGATGATGACATATCCATGTACAGCGTCTCCACTAGAATATTCCTTTAGCTTTGTCTCTAATTCACAGGGGCTATGGGGAGCCGGAACGTCTTTCGTGACAAAAATCTGAACGCCCAAAGGCGATGATTTCGCATGCGGAAGCATATCAATATTATCAAGCACAGAATTTCCGTAGCTCTCATGAGTTAGAATTCCAGGGACCCGGGGGGTCGTTATTCCAGCCCGGCCCAGCGTATTTTCACTTTGTGAGGGGTTTCCCGTAGATGATTCTCTCAGTCTTGACACGCTCTGCAAACCCTCCTCCAATTCGTTTTCGGAAAAAAGATACTGTCCTTCAAATTCGTCGATATCGTTATTTTCTTCATCGTTCACGCTAATGGCGGCTAGACTGCGAGCGGCTGAATCGAGTACACGTTGTGTTTCAAGCGTCAACTGATCTTGGGTCATGCACGGCGAGTCGGAGGAAGAAAGGGGCGTGTCAACGTAGACAGATGGAAGTCCCAAGTTACCCTCATCAAACTCGAAGTCGTTTCGCTTCAAAATTGACTGGAACATCTGGAATGACGGAAGAATATCGAAATACTCGGTGCGGGTGTCGGTCGAGACCGTGGCCAAATTAAGCCCCAGCCCATTCAAGCGGTCTATGTGGGTCTGTAAATGTTTGGGGGGTTGATACGGCTTGTTTCTGCCGTTTGTTTTGGAGCATGAGGGGAGATTATGGTAAGGTGACTGGTTTCCAAATCGCGGACCTTCATTCTGGGAGGATGTGATCGGAGTCAAAGCAGGAGACGAGTCTGACAATTCCACGTCTTCATATGTGGGCGGTTCAGTAGGCGGATGCTTAGAGCCGGATGTCAATTTGTCCAGTCTCATTTGGAATATGGGTGGGAATTGCGGAGGAGCAGAAATTGAAAAAAACTACATTGGCGGGGGTCTCAGGGCAGTTCAGTTCTCTTGGTCTCTATGCAGAGATGTCAGGACGTACGTGTCTGTTACATTTTCCGGTCACGATGGAGTTGAGATTATTTATATTTATTTATAGACAGAAGCTTTCGGTTAGTAGCTTCGAGCACAACATTGCAAGAAGAGATAAAAATCAGACTGACATGCAAATCGAATTTTAAGTTTAAGAGTATCATGTGATATCAAACTGCTTGGGGTCATCATTACGCTTATCTCTGAATATTAATATTACGAACCAACATACCTTTTTCCAGTTAGTATTAAACGGAGAAACGATTCCATATCATGCATACACGCAGAGAATAGTTCAGGAACCACGGCCGGTCAAGGCCGAGTGTTTCATCAATGTGCGGTGATTACAAGTCACCACAAACAGTAGACCGTCGTGAAAAAGTGGTAAATCATCATAAACCCAGTGTGCTGCTGATCCAAGCCTCGGAAAAAAGACTTCTTATAACAAGAATACATACCTTTAATTTATCGACTGACATTCGGCCAAGTCCCCAGCTCCTATTATCGATGCCACACAAGCTATCAGACATAAAATATCTATCTTCTTTCTCGTGAGAGTCGGACATATGCTTGTCTGTATTTCGATATCATCTTTTAACCTTGAAGCACTGACAATAGTAGCAAAGAAAAAAGCAAATGCCAGTTGAGCTGATACTCCAGCCGAATAAAATCCATGTTAAATCTAGACTGAGAACATGTTAATATTTTGCGCACACACAGTTTGCATAAGCAACTTCATCAAGACAATTCAGAAAGGCATGAATGGTATAAAAAAATGGTTGTCATCTACGGGAAACCCGATTCAGACTCGTCATCTTGAAAATCATCATATTATCATTGATGAAACAATGTAAATAACATACGATTTTGATATCCTATTTTGTTAGAAAAAGCCTCAAGACATAATTGAAATTATAATGATGTTCACTCAGTCGAGGTGGGTTTCTGAGGCCCACCGTAGTGCATTGTCACTCATGAAATATTCAGTGCCCAGTGCAATACTTCCTCCTTGAACATTACGAGTTTGAGAACATACCTGGAGTGTTAGTAGATGATTGTATTCTTGTTAAGACGTCATATCAGAAATAATGCAAAAACTTATAATCCTTAAAAATTTCAGTTGGTAATTCCAGCTTTGTTTTTGTTGTATCATCATAATGAACGTCCGGTCGCGCAGACCTAAGTCAGTGTAGACATACTCATTGGATGTTTGTTCTTGAACTGTTAGTAATTGAGCTTCAAAGGCTTTTCTTTCACTGCAGCTAGCGCAGAAAAGAATTCAGAAGATTTCTCAGGATATTTAATAATGTTGTGATCATTCTGAAAAGTCACAAACTCTAGTTTGAATTGATTATTTGGATCATCTGCGAAATCTTTCTCCTGTTATGAAGTGAATAAGAACATACAAATTGTTTGCCTAAAAAGCGGTGTAGGTTGCCGAGTGAAAAGTGCGCATCCCTCGTTGTTCTTTATATATGGCATTCGAACTAGTGCGGGTAACACCTGCACGCCGAGGCAGAAGTGTGCCCTACTGTTTGAGATGAACTATATTTGAGTAAGAAATTAAATGCATAGTACTATTTAGACTGACGGCTCTCCAGATTCAGAGAAAAATTTGAGCCAGCGGTTGGCATGAACATATTAGGCACTGGCATCATAGGCATCATTGGAAATGGCATGGTAGGTGCTGGCATTGTAGTATTTGTGATGTCGCGCCGTTTGCTATCAATATTGGCGTCTCCTAGGGCTTCAGACGACGTGCGCTTAATCGCGGTAGGATCCTGGAGTCCGAGCAGACCAACATAGTCCGACAATTCCTTCTCGAATGTATCATTGGGAATGAGCGAGTCAATGAAAACGTCTTCCTGACAACAATTGGGACAATGGAAGTCGTTTTCAATCAACTCTTGCTCTAACTCAATCTGATTATAGTTATAATTCTTCATTTTTTGTAGCGCACCAGCATCCTGGCAACACGCAGTCATACGAATCGGAGATTTGAGAACTTTGGGCTCTGAAGAAAGAGGGTTCAAGAACTCCGTTCTGTTATCTGCGAGGATGCGGTTTGTGACGTCCTGTTCGAATTGCCGTTGTGCCTTCAACGCTGCGCTTTGTTGTTTTTCTTGATACAGAGCCCATGTTTTGGAGTCGGCAAAAGTCATGACATAATCACCATCTTCAGTTATCATGTAAGTGTTGCCTTGAGCGTCAACCAAGTCTCCATTTTCGTCTGTATGAATTCCACTCTCGTTACTCTCTGGGTTCTGAAGCCTGTACTCCACTGTTTCTTTAGAAATTGTCTTCATATAACTCTTTGGGATTCCTGTTGTCTTCTTGATCTTCTTGCCCTCAAAATTTGGATCCGAGTTGGTGGGACAGTTTTTGATCCAGTGGTCTTTGCCTCCACACCTGTAACATACATAGCCGGGCGGGGGCAAATCTTCAGCTCCAGATTTGTAGTGAACAACTTTATGCTGCGAAAGCTCATCTTGGGCCTGCGCCCAAACATTGGATTGGTTTTCAAACATCAACCGTATTCTGTCTTCCTCACTTATATTTTCATTGACACCTGCCTCTGGCTGCACGAGAGGAGCCTTCTGCGTTGCGGCTGCCTGTGGCTTAAATTTAGTCACTCTTGGCCGGCCTGAAACATATCGAGCCGCAGATTGGGATCTCCCGTTGAAAACAGAGATCGGGGAACGCTTTGCAAGGACAAAAGTTGATCTAGGAATGACATCTTGATCGTTCTCGTATTCCACGTCAGGCTGCTCCAGGTGAAATAGCCGGAGCATGAAATCCAGACCTTGGCCGAGCAGGTTTTGAAGAATGATTTCGTGTTTTAAATCAAACACGTTTATCCCTGTTCCATCGAAATAGACTGTTGATTGATTTTTCTGATGCACGAAGCGGTAGAATATTGTTGATGACATCTTTGCAGAACTATAGTCGACTGTTCTATGCGCTCGTACATGTCCTGGAAAACCGATTTGAAGCGCGCACATTAAATGAGTCTCGGGCTATCCTGGGCCTACCCGCAAATGGCGCCACATGAGGCAACGGAAACCCAGAAAAATAAGGAAAATGGATAATCTATTCGACCTGTACCATATATGGCTTTATATACGGCAGATCATGGGTGATACGGGTGGGTTGCCCTGTCGTCAAGGAATACATATATAGTACATATACACCCGTACACCGGCGGTGTCTGAAAAAACGACCGATGAAAGAAATCACAACGTGTATATCCATCACCACCCACTATCATGAATCCGGTCACAGCATCGCATATTGTTGGGTATGATTCTCACCTTCCCATCAAGCATGTAAAGCTTCCTCTCAAGTATTTATCCGGGAATCCGACCAAAGATTTCTCAGACGACTTTATCACCAGCTGTTTCGGTCATAGTGAGTTCATCGATATATCTGCCCAAAAGGGACATTTCTTCACCCTCATTCAAACCGGGATTACCAAAGATAAGAAGCGGTTGCGATTGTCGCCTCTTATTGTAGATGAAGCCACCGCGTTGGGAGTTCAGTTTCAAGCTTTAGAGATCTTGTTGCCACATCCGATTATAAACAAAGGTACCTTCACGTATCACTTTGTCTCACTGGAAAAGGAAGAAGAGCCATGCATTATCATTGACATTTTAGATGAGAGCTTTCTTTTGATGACGTTTCGTATCGAGCTCAGCGACTTTATCATGGGAAACGATCGAAATCGATTGGTTTTGGATAACTTTCATGAGTGGGTCAATATTTCTGTACCATATTCATTCGAGTTGCGTTCATCGCCCTTCTTCATGAAATCTCTCGACCCTTGTAACATCATCGTTTCAATGAATGATGGCGGGATATTGCACTTCAAGCGATCTGAGCCCTTATCATCAATTGATATTTATAACTTCACCGATATTGCACCTCTCGTATCACTCAATTTTATTGGCAGCTTATTCTCGGGTTCAGGGAAATCGGATGGCTTTATGGGAGGCCTTTCAAGCAATGCAACTGTGGATGTTGCTCAATTGAGCAGAGATGAGTTTGTTACATTGAGCTTGAACAGGTGTGTCAAGGTTTACAACATCAATTCTCATAAACAAACTGATCTTTGCGCAGACTTCAAGGGGTGTAAGAGTCTGTCAGAGTGGCTCACAAATATCCCTAACAAGTATTTCCAAAAACTGAAAAACTCCTCAAGTACCTCCTTGCATCTTATGTTACCTGTGGATGAAATCATTAATAGCAGCGGAAGACCAACTTACGAGACTGTCAATTGGGACATCACCAACGGGAAGCTAGAACATATCGAGCGCCTCAAACTCGATGTTGATTACTCGGGTCCAAATATTGCCACAGATGTCGAGGACCATAAGAGCTTAAGAGTGCAAGATTTCCAGATTGTGGCGGGCGAGGAGGAACTTGCGTATCACGTTCTCTACAAAGCCAATACATACAGTGAAGTTGCACACTACACTCAGGATAAGATAACTGGGAACATATCCCTAATAAAGACGGCATTGCCCCATCAGGCCCCGGTTTTTGCCGAGTTGAGCAATCATCGTGAAACTGAATATTATGTGAGTACCGTCTTCAACTCGGGCATATTCGATAAACGCATTGTTTCCTCTGCTTTGGATGTGTTCATTCAGAACTTGGAAAATAAGCCGAACTTAGATGGTATTCTATCCTTACGTCAAAAAGTGACTCTGACAGTGACGTTTGTCAGTACGGCAGAAAAAATCTCAGAGAGTTCAGCATGGTATAAGTTTGCATTGATTTGTCTTGAATTCCGAAGGTCCAGTCAAGAAGCGCTATCTATTTCAGCTCAACGCGAATCTGTATTCTGTTCCGAGGTCAATGGAGTTGCTGTTTACAGAAAGGCTCATTCATACGAGGCTGGCTTACACCAGCATGTCGACAACAGTCTCACAGACTTGATAAGATCTTTATCGTCTAGGTTCTCTGTTCAGACGTTGAAGGGCCTTCTGCAAGAAATTCGGACCCTCAAAACTATAGACAGAATAATTGCAAGTGACCTAGCAGCCACATATCTCAGTGGAAAAATTTCAGACGAGGATATTGAGATTTTGATGGACAACTTAGGACTTATTCCAAACAACGTGGATCAGATGAAATGGTTAATTGGAATGTCCGATAACAAACAATTTTCAAGTGCGGATGGCGTCCCTCCAGCGACTGGTGAAGGAATTGGGTTGCTTTCGATACTCTTCACAATAGACACCTTTGAGTCGATCAAGAAGTGTCATGAGACTCTTCTTATCGACCTCCTCGTTTTGTTGTTGTTATGCGAAGTGAATGATACCATTATTGAATTCATGAATCATATCATCCGAAAACTTGCAGTATATGACCTCATGTCTGACATGTTTAATATTTGTTTCTCGACTCCTGGATCACTAAGTGGAATAGAACACTTGAGGGTTTCTGCTAAGGAGAACTCTTTATTCTGGGCTGTTTCTGTGAGACGGAATCCACACCTCCAACAACTTATCCAGCAAAAAGACTTCAATACGGCGTTCGATTATTTTGCAAGCCACATCTTGCTGGAGAACGAAAATGAAAATATTCTCGAAATTGTGATTGAATTATTGAATCGTAATGAGAATGAAGTGGTTTTGAATGTTTTTGTACCAAAAATGGATGAGACTGTGCCACTTAACTCTTTCTTGATTGGCATCATACTGCTAGTTAACGGAAAATTTGAAAGATTTCACGAAATACTCAAGGATTACACATTGTTTGATCGCGTGAACCATATCCCGACCAAAACAATTCTACTCGATCATTTAAAAGGAAGCCCGTCTATTCGGGAATTCTTGTCGGGGATTTTTATCGGTAAGTCCGAAAGTGATGTCACGAAATCGAATTATTTTCACCAGTTGTCCAACCTTATCATGAGATACGAGACATGGTCTGGTATCAGGAGACCTCACAATTCATTTGGCGCAGATCAGAAACAACACTTACTCGAGTTGGCCCTAGATCTCGAGACTACCGCTATACAGATTCTTCAAAGTTCCAATGACTCACAAGGCTTAGTGAATCTCACAAGCGTGTATCTTCGGAATCACTTTAGTATCGCCATCGACATCGGAGATTTTGACAAAGCATCCGTCAGTCTTTCGAAGCTCAAATCCCTCTCAAGCAGAAATGACTTCAAGAATCTCTTTACAAAGCTTATTAAGGCATTGATCAAACAAAATGAGTATCGTCAACTATTTGCATCTGGCTCTAGCAGAATCTATGCAGAAAATTATCTCTTGGTCGATTCCATTTTACTCGAACTAGCTAACGAGGATCTCGTACTTTCAAACGCATTGAAAAGTTACGAGCTACTTTATTCTTGGAGACTTCTTGGTCCCTCGCCAATGATTGTTGGAAAAACGTCATTGGTGGATAAGAGAGGTGCTGCAGAAGCATTGTACATTTTCATCACAAGATTCAGGAACGAAAAGGACAATCTCAGTTCTGATTCTGCGCAATCGGAGAACTTCCAGCAGTTCAAATTGAAGATTTTAGAGTTGTACAAAATTATTGTGACTATTTTGAAGACGTTCAGTCAAGAAGAAGACAAATGGATCAGAAAAAGAGGTGGAAAAAAGTCTTCAAGTGTACTCACTCTAACGGAATTGGATATTGAACACTATCGTTGGCTCAAGGATTTGGAGGAAGATTTCTTCAAGAATCAAAATGAGGTTATGAATTAGTGGTCACTACCCCATATTTGCCTTCATGTTACCGCTGCCCTTGGGATTTTCGTCTTTCCAATCATCCCACTCTCGCTTTCTGATTTCTTCGTCGCTGTCATCCGTATTATCGTCGCTGTCGCCCATTTGAGAGTCTTTTGCGTCATTGCTGGCCATCTTACCGTTTGCTAATTCATAATCTAAGTATTCTTCAATGGACATTGAGGGCAAAACTTGCCCGGTGCCAAATACACTGCTGCGGAGTTTCTCTCTGGAGCCAGTGATCACAAATGGCTGTAGAATTTTTCCCAGCTTGCTTATCAAATCGGCAATATCTTTTTGTTTTGTTGGATCCGATTCCAACCTGGAAGTGTATTCGAATCTGTCAACTAGGGGCATCTTTTGAACTCTAATATCTTCAGTTGCTCTTATGTCCTGCTGAGAATCTCTAGACTCAAGTACTTGTAACTCCATTGCGATAAGTTCCAAGTTTTTAAACGCATTAACAGAAAAAAGCCTCAACTGATTTTCATAAAGCGACCGAACTGTATCTTCATCCATCTTTTGAAGAAGATCTTCGTCTGCACCGTCTCTATCGCCGAAGTTGGCATAATATTCGTCTAATGCAACAACTTTTCCCAGAAGGTCTTTTTCAAGCTTATAACTAGCAATTTTACTAGCCCGTCTCAGGGCTGGGTCTCCTGTTGCTGCCAAGATATCTTCGTTCGATGGATTGTAAGATTTCTTAAAGGAGTTGAGAATAGACAGCTGCTCCGGTGATAAAATGTCACGAAAGGAATCGACCAATGTTAAGTATTCAAGGTTCTTCACTTTTGCTGTCTTTAGATTTCTGGGTTTAAACAACAAGATATCCACCGAATCCGAGTCTATATTCTCCTTCGGGTCTATAAACAACTTCGGATATAGAATGGCCTCATAGTACAGTAGGGCAGCAAAGGGTAGGTACGATGTGTTGATCTCATTCAACTGCTCATTGCTACTGAACAATGAAAGACTCAGTGTTATTGATTGGAGCATGCTGAGTTGTTTCAAAACATCAAATACCCTTTCTTGGAACGATGCAGAATCTTGTCTCTCTGTTGAGTTCTCTATGAATGCACAGCTTTTGACAATGAGATTCAATCTTTGCCTCACGGTGAGATCACTATGATTCGACAGCATGATATATACCTGATCCCTATTTCCAGTGACTTATCTTACCCTCTGGTTCTGATTTGGAATATTAGTGTAGTGTGCCACACTCAACAGTCTTGCATTTCACCAGTACACCAAGGACTCCAAAACTCTCTGCGAGTGTCAACACATTATATAGGATATACCAAGGGTTACGACTTAAAACCCGCCAGACAGAATGAGTTCCCCTGCTTACTACGAGCTTTACAGAAGAAGCGCTATTGGCAGTGCCTTGGCGGATGCGCTTGATACTTTGATTAGCGATGAGAAAATACAGCCACAGCTTGCGATGAGAATCTTGAATAACTTCGACCGTATTATTTCCGAAAGTTTGAAAGCAGAGAGAGGATTGTGCAAGTCCAAAATCACGTTCAAAGGCGACTTACATACCTATAGGTTCTGTGACGATGTTTGGACCTTTATCATCAAGAACGTAAACATCAAGATGACCGATGTGTCCAACAACGATTTAAATGACAGTGATCTCACAGCAGAGAAGTTTAAAATTGTTGCTTGCAACTCTAGGAAGGCAGGGGAGGTTTGAATGTTCTTGAAAAGATTTCTCCACGCTCTCGTCGACGAAGTATCTGGAATAGCTTTCACAATACAGACCGTGGAGTGTTTTTTGACGTAGTTTTGTTGCCCAAGTTCACGCAAGGTAGGCGTGTGTATCAAATTCCTCTGATTCGAGATTTTGATTTTCTGATATGACTTGAAGAATCAATTATTCACGATATAGATATATGTATAGATGTATATATCTCCGACACATATGATACCTTAATACTGAGCCTTTTATTTGAAAATCACAAACCGGTCCACATCTTCTCTTTGCATACCTTGAAACCAGCTCTCACTTCTATGTCGTCAGAGCTTGAACCCACTTGCACTTCATAATCACCCGTCTCCAAATGCCATTTAGCCAAATATTCATCAAAGTACGAAACCGAATCTTTCAACGAAAGATTAAATTCGACTGAGCGCTTTTCTCCAGCCTTCAAAAAGACCTTTTCGAATCCCTTGAGTTCTTTGAGAGGCCTATCAACATCTGGTTCAACAGGAGCCACATATAATTGCACAGTTTCAGATCCGTCAATGCCTCCAGTATTTTCGACTGATACTGTGGCGACGAGTTTATCGCTGGACTCGTCAAGTTTCACACTCAAGTCGGTAAACTCAAACGATGTGTACGATTTACCATACCCGAAAGGGAAAGCAACCCTTCTCTGCAATTTCTCGTAGTAACGGTAGCCGACGTAGATATCTTCACCATAGAGCACTCTGCCCCTCACCGTCTTGAAATTAAGGTAGGCAGGGTTGTCGATATTCTTCATTGGCCAAGACAAGGGCAACTTTCCGCTGGGATTCACATCTCCGAACAACACGTTTGCGATGGCATTTCCGCATTCCGATCCTCCATACCAAGCGTGAACAAGGGCCTTTGCTTTCAGTAGCCAAGGCATCTCAACTGGTGTTCCTGATTGGTTCACCACAACAGTGTTCGGGTTTGCCTGTAAGACAGCACTCACAAGCTCATTCGTGAATGGAGGCAACGACATGTCAGGCCTATCAAACCCTTCGGACTCCCATTCAAGATTCAAGCCAATGGATAAGACGACTTTGTCCACCTTGCTGGCCAACTCCGCTGCCTTCTGAATTTCCTCTTGTGGGTCAATGACTTTACAAAAGCCTATTGCGATAGCCCCACCAACAGAAAGAGCTGCCGCTTGTTTCACTGACATAGTCTTGGCAGATCCAAACTGGACGAGTATCTCATAGGTCTTACCCGCTTCCAAACGCGTGGAGTTGATCACTTCCACTGAGCCAGATCCAAAGAAAGCATCGCCAAGTTTTTGGTTCACCGTATTATCAACAAGCAACTTGCCATCAATAAACAATTTGGCAGTTCCGCAGACAATGAGCGAAAAGTCATAATCACCGGACTCCTCTGGGGTGATTTCAGTAGTGATGTCCGCGTAATACAAATCGTCAACAATCTTGGGATGCGTGTAGTCGAAAAATAGTAAAGGAGATGCGTCGTACTGGAACTCGTCAAATTGAGTCCTTGGGCTCACATCAGGCGCATTGTCATAGAACCTCACATTGATACCAGGCTTTCCGGTGACGGGATTCCTCGACATTGGTGACAAAGAGATCCCTGGTAAACTCTTATGTGCAAAACATCCAACGCTATACTCGGGGTTCTTCCCGAGTTTCTTCGCAATAGAGTCAAAGGGAGTACTTGAGTAGTATGTGAGCAAGGAGGCAGACCCACCTCCACAGTATGCCGCATACTTCGCGTTGGGGCCAATCACGGCAAGAGTCTCGTTCTTCTGAAGAGGAAGGATGTTATCTTCGTTCTTCAAGAGCACCACAGCTTCAGAAGCCAATTTGTTCAAGACTGCTCTAGTTTCAGGGTTGTCATTTTTTTCTTCGACCCCATTTTCCTCGACCTTTGCCCTGGCACACCATTTCACAAACTTCAAGACGTTTCGTACACGATCATCCAAATCTTGGATGTTGATTTCACGAGTGGCAATCATGTGGGAAATACTTCTCTCGTCCCTCAAGAAAGAAGGGCCAGGCATTTCCAAGTCCAAGCCGTTTTCTATAGCAGCTTTGGCAGTGTATACTCCAAACCAGTCAGACATGATCAATCCATCCCATCCCCACTCCTTTCTCAAGATATCCTTTAAGAACTTGGCACTCTGTGACACATGTTCTCCGTTGACTTTGTTGTAGGAAGTCATAATAGATGCGGGGTTTGAGTTCTTGACTGCTAAGCGAAAAGGTTCCAAGTAAATTTCCCGCAAGGCTCTCTCGGTCAACACAGAATCGGATGATGACCTCTCGTGTTCTAAATCATTACAAACAAAGTGTTTGAGAGTAGATGCAATATCATTCTCTTGCATACCATTGATTACGGCGGCCGAGGCCATGCCGGCGAGATACGGGTCTTCCGAAAAAGACTCGAACCCTCTCCCACCTAGTGGGCCTCTCTGAATATTGGTGGTTGGGCCGAGGATGCAGCTGGCTGATTTGCTTTTTGCCTCCTTTGCCATGAGTTCACCGGCATCGTGCAACAATTCTTTGTTGAAAGTCGCTGCCATTCCGGTTCCACAAGGGAAACACGCAGAAGGTACCCCATTGCAAAATTTGGTACCTCTTACTCCATTGGGCCCATCCGATACACGAACAGATGGAACACCCAATCTCTTGACTCCAGAAGTGTGCCAAAAATCGATTCCAGCGAGGAGACCAATCTTCTCCGGGAGAGTTAATTGGGAAAGTACTTCCTCCACGTTTATGTCGGCCATTGTGAAGTGCTGGTTCTTCTTTTGTATTCTTGGTTGTTTTCTCCTGAGTTTATGCAACTGAGGGTTTGATGAAGTAGTCTAGACATTTCTCACTTGTCTGGGACGAGTTCACTGTTTTTATACACAAATCGTAAATGCATCTCCGGAGATGTTTCCTAAATGATTCTCGGAGATGAGATGTTTCCTAAATGATTCTCGGAGATGTTTCCGAAAGAAGCAGCGAGCCCGGCCTGCACCGCGAGTTCAAACGTCTACGCAGCCTACCTCTGTGTGTGGAGAAACCCCACCTTTCGCAACATGGGACAAAATGTTTGCAATATTGATCTCCGGTCTCGTGGTTTTAGTTTCCTAGTTCTATGTTCCGTTTATCACTAGTATGGACTCCTGTGATTTGATAGCCACAGGTTGCTATCTCGTTCCTTGGAATACTGGAGAGCCTTTCATCTGCATTTCGGAGCCAGTCTCCGCGACTGCACCGGTGACGGAACAATAATCTTTACGAGTGTTCCCTGGTTCTGCCATGCCAATCATCTCTCTAGGTACGGTATAATCTTACTATAAACGGAATTTATGGAAGTCCAGAACTAAAACTGATCACGGCCCATTTTCCAGAGGCGGTCCAGAATTCCCCAACGTCGTTTCCCATGGACTTGTATGTCTCACTCAATTTTTCATTCAAGCCTTCAGGCAAGCCCACAACCACATCGGCTTTACATGTGCGTAAGGCCAAAACAGGAAGACCCGAGGATCCCAACTGTCGAATGGCCGTGACAAACGGAGTGGTTGTGTCCCACTGTAAGTCTCCAGTAAGCTTCCTGTAATTCAAATCACCCTTGAATATAACAAGGCTCGACTTCCTCAACTCTTCAAAAAGCCCCCTCTTCTCTGGAATGTACCAGAAATTCTCGTAGGAAGTCCAGAACAGATTGTGCTGAAGAGAGATTTTCTGTTGGCCTACCAACGCCTCAAGTTTGGAAGTAAAGAACTCAATTGCCTTTTTGTCTTCGGCGGAACTGTGGATTTCGGTAAAGAACTCGGCATTTTTCAATTGCTCAATCAAGCTTTCAAAGTCTTTTGGCATAGTGTCGCTCACAAACCAAGGGATTTCCTTGCAGTGTAACACGACGGACTCGACGAGACCAGAATCAAGCAAGAACATGGACAAACACAAGTCGGCAAAGAGCTCAAAGCCGGAGTTGTCCAATACAAAGTCCACCCGTTTTCTTGCGTCCCCAGTCAATTGGTGCCAGGCCTTGGCCGCGTCATTGACGATGATTTTCTCCTCGTTCTTCTTGCGCACTTCGGCGCCCTGGACACTTTTGATATCTTCGAGTGTTACATTTCCAGCAAGAAGAGACAAGTCTGTAGCATTGCCCCACAACGAAATGTCAATGAACTCATAAAACAAGAGCTTCAACGCCTCTTGATCAACTGAAGCACCCTGTAACTGTTTGGACAAAGTTTCGTACCGCTTACAAAGCTCCAAAACACCGAAGGAAGACTGTTGAAACGCGGTGCTTTTTGAGTTTTCGAATACATCGAACTCTTTGAGATGGATGGTTTGCTTGAACCAAAGATCAAGCAATTGATACAAGTAGCATTCCAAGTACAACCACGGACCCGTGAGCCACGTGACTCTCCTCTGATTGTTGTATCTCTCCAACTCAGAATTATAAGCAATGAGCTCTTTCTTAATTTGCAATTCCTCTTCAGTGAAAGCTTTCACAGGCTCGTCCGCGCGGAACTCTTTCAAGAGACTCTCGATCTTGGAGGTAACAATCTCGCCGCATTTCTGGGCCTCTGGAAAGCTTCTGATATGAGAGGCAATATCACCAATGGCACCCTCTAAAATAGTAGGCCATCTTTTGTGCACGGTAGGATAAGCAAAAGACTTGGGATCGTCATTATATGACGGAAGAGGAAGAGACATTGTTGGCTAGTCAATGTAGAATATTGGCCACGGCAACTCGTATATGCGAGAGTGCTTGACGGGCCAAGCCCGGCCGACGGCAACGGAGCTTACATGCCGAGCACAGACCAAATGTTGCTACAATAACAATAATAATACTTCAAAAATCTTTAAACTAAAACAAGGACCCCTGCGTGAAGCGCCCGAGGTTGTAAGTAAAAGCGGCTGGCCGCGAGACACTAAAGGAGTGAAAGAAGAAAACAATACTATACATAAATGAACTTATTTCGCAGGCATGTCTACTGTCTCTTGGCGTACTCCGCTTTCTCTTTTTCGTATCTCTTCTTGTCAGTCGCAGCCTTGTTCTCGTAAGGAACTTTTTCGTCGGCGTTCAAAGCCTTCCATCTCTCACCCAACATTTTGCCGACTTGGCCAAAGGTAATGCCTGGGTTCTCTGCTCTGACAATGTCTCTGTTTTCGTTGGCGAAAAACATGTAGGCGGACAAAGACCTCTTTGGGGCATCTGGGTCCTTCTTTTTTCTGGTCGACTTCTTTTTCTCAGTAGACATTTCTAAACAGTTAGTATATCGTGATATCTAGCCGTCTTGCTAAAAGAAGACGAGGATTTGCAACCCGCGCTCGCGCATGAAAGACCTTCAAGGCGCCAGAGAACATACCCGCTGCATTTACTTTGGAGGGGTTGGAGAAAACATGACGCAGAAAACACAAGCAGGCCTTTTTTCAATGAGGCGTTAAAGACACGATATCCTGCAATGGTTTATTGCGGCCTGTTGTAAGGCGGGCCATGGTATACAGCAATTTTGGGCCAACTATTTCGGTGTTCTTGTTTGGCTGCTGGGCAGTAAAGGTTTCACCAACAACAATAAACCCATACAACACCTATTGTACAAATTGTACAGGTGTAGATTGTCTGTGCTCATTAAAATATTTCGTTGAGGACGGCTGACTTTGATGCGCGCGGCGCGGTTTGTTGTTTGGAAGTTGATAACATACTGGCTTAAGTATAGTTTACTATGAGGAAAAATTCTAGTAGCAACTCTGCTAGTGTGGGAGGTGCACCCACCCTATATAGTGGGAATGGCTGGGGCGCGATGATAGTGATGGATAGTGCGCAGGACGTGCGTAAATACCAGACCACCTATATTTGCTGCCCTCACGGTGCGCTCCCCAGCACACTTTAAGTCGGAATGAATACATCATGAATGGCCCGTTTTATTTGTTTCCTTTTCGGCCCAAACAAATATTCAAGCTCAATTCGAGTGAGAAGGGAAAGAGTAAAAACTGTCTCCGACAAATTGGGAAACATGCGTCTCTGAAGACGGCATTTGCCAATGGATCTTCACGAAGTTGACCCGCACCGGCAGACTGTCTAGGGTCCCAGAAGTTATGGGTCCTAATTAAGAGAAACGCAATCGCGCTGATCGCGCTCCAAATCAAGCGCGTGCCCGCCTTGCCATTCGGGGCGCGAATTTGCGTGCCCCTAATGTCGGGCAAAACGTGCAAGGAATACATAACAACATGTATGTATAGAGCCTCGGTTCGCAATATCTAAGGCATAGACTTGCTGGAGACAAAAAAAATTCGCTTTCGCTGTAGGCAGCATGCGCTTAGATCGTATACATATATTCCTGTAGAATAGGTGAGCTAGTTGGATACCTGGAGCCCAACTGACAGTTGAGCCTGGAGATCTCCCCACCCATGAGCCGGCCTCCGCGTGTCAACTCAAGCACCTTGCATCCTTCCATCGAGTCCAATTGAAAACTAATTGTTACAACTAATTACACCTATAAAAACCTTGATCCAATTTGCATGAGTGGCCCATAGTCGGGGGATCTAGTACCATCCACGGTACTGGCTGTTGTCTTGATAAGTGCCATACTGCGGATATTGTTGGTACCCGGCGTACTGTGGCATTTGTTGGTAGTACTGAGGAACACCTGAGGGGGCTGGGGCAGCCTGGCTGTTTCCTTGCTGCTGGCCGTTCTGCAGGGCCTCGGTTGTCTCACCGGCTTGGCTGCCCTGGGGAAATGGCTGGCTACTAGGGTACCCACTGTAAGGGTGAGCTCCTCTAGTTCCAAACTGGCTTGGGTTGCCGTAGTACTGCGCAGCATAGAACTGGTTGGCCGCCTGAGCACTTTGGGCAGTGCTTTGTCCACTGGCGCTTTCGCCCTCACCGGCACCAGCTTCACTACCTGGTTGAGCCTGTTGCTGAGCCTGTTGCATTCCGTAAGCAGTGTTAGAGGCTCCCATACCCGCTCCGTTGCCATAGAATGGGGTGTTGTAGAAGTAGTTGGGGTAGTTGGGGTAGGCAAATGGCGCTCCGCCTGGAACCTGCTGGCTCTGTTGTGGGGTCTGCAATCCCTGGTGCGTAGAGTTGGCTACCAAAGGGGACTGAGCAATCTCGGTAGCTCCAGAGGGGTTAGCAGCGCTTGGAATGGCCGTCTTCGCGGTGTTCACCTGGTAGTAGCCTGGGGAAGCCATGGATCCCAATGGAGTCTGGTTGACTTGGCCGTACGCAGAGTAGTCAAATGATGGGTAGCCAAACTGAGCAGGAAGGGTGCCGGCAGCGGCTTGTTGTGGGAACTGCTGCTGAGTCTGCTGGAACTGGCTGTAGTAGTCGAATCCTTGACTGGAGTTGGCGTTTCTTTGCTGCTCGTACTGTTGCTGGTAAGCCTGATGTTGCGATTGCTGCGTCTCCTGCTGCGTCTGCTGTTGCGATGGTTGTTCTTGGGCCGTGTCTTGTTGCAATTGCGGCTGCGATTGTTGCGAAAGCTCGTTTTGTTGCGACGCATCGGCCGTGTCTTGGTTGGAAGCGAAACCGGGCATCTCTTGTTCCTTTGGCTGCTCTTGAGTCACAGACTGATCTTGTGGCTCGGCATCGTCCAAGGCCAAGGAGCCGAAGGACACGCCCACGTTGTCAACTTGTTGAGGCAAAACGACCTCGGACTCCAACACTGGATTCGACACGGGCTCGGGCTGCTGCTCGGGCTCGGCAACTTCTGGGCCGGCGTCGGCCGTCTCCTCTTCTTCAATGCTAGCTGCGACCTCTTCTTCCTCGTCGTTGGGGGTGTCTGCCTCAGCGACCTCTGGTTCGCTGGGCGCAGCCTGCTTGGGCTCGGGTTCGGCAGCCTTTTTGGGGGCGGGCTTGGCCTTTGGCTTGATGGCCGATGCCCAAGAAGTCGACGATTGGACATTGGAGGACTTCTTAGCAGGCGCAGTTTCCACCGGGGCCTCGGACTTGCGCTCCTCCACAGCCGCTTCTGGCTGGGCCTCGCTTGGGGCCGCCTTGGAGCTGTCACCCGACTCCTCTTGCGACTTGGCAGCTGGCTTTGGCTTTGGTTTAGCAGTGTCTTTTGCCAACGCCGCAGCCCACGAATTAGAAGGCACAGGGGCCGTCGAAGGGGTAGCAGATGCAGGTACAAGAGATGGCGCACTGGTGGGTGCAGCGGCGGCTGGCGCTTGGGTTGGTGTGTCTTTCTTGGGGCCCGCCTGTGGCTTTCTTTCTCTTCTTCTTTCTGTCTTTGGCTGTCTCTCTCTGGAATGTCTCCCTCTTGGCTCTCCCAGAGAAGCCGTGTGGGTGGAGGACGTTGTGGAGACAGGGGCGCTCGTCTGCTCGGCGGACTTTGTGTTGTCGTCTCTTCTCTTACTCCGAGATTCTTTCTTGATAGGCTCCCACTTGGATACCTTCTTATTGACAATCAAGTCGATGACAATCTCCACGTCGTTTCGATGCTCGGACAACAAGGACGCCAAATCCTCAGACTCCCAGTCGGGAAACATCTCCGACAACATTTGCAATTGTGTGTCTTTCACGGACGAGGCAGTGGCAGCAGACGCGCCAGCGGCCCCCTTCTTATTATTCTTGTAGTTTCTTCGTTGTGACATGATGTGTTCGTGATATATGAGGACGACAGATATGTGATGCTTTTCGCAGTCTGTCCTCCGTGCTTGTTTTGTAGTTTCAAGTAGGTCTCTTGAGGGTGAAAACAGAGGTTCGCTTTTATACTATGACGTCAAATCTTGCGGTTGCTTAATCCAACACTGCTCACGTGCAAATCCCAGGTAAGACGGTGTAACAGGCAGTCGATGAAATCCAAAAGTTCGTTTCCGTAGCAGAAGCCGAAAACGCAAAATTCAACAGGTTTTAAATGTACTTAGATCGAGTATAGTCTTCCTTGCCCGAGGATTTTTTCGTCCTTTTTTCTCACTTGGTGTTCGACCGAGAGTGACTCGGTGAGCGCACGTATCTATGCCTGACCGCTCACGTGACAACAATAATTCGGGCCAAAGCCATAATACAGATCTGTGCACATCCCAGCTCAAGGCCACATCTCCGTTACGGCTGGAGTCTGTTCGGTTCCTGATGTTTATTTAGGTATCATATATTGCATGCCAGTGCTTCTGTTATTGCATCGTCTTGGGACTCTCACAAGACTCTATGAAGAAGCGCAGTAGACCCACCCACTGGAGCCGACTGGAAAAAGTCTGGACCAACAATCAGCCGGGCGACCGAGTCAAAGAGATCATCGATAATAGTCTTGAGTCCGTCGCCTGTTTGCTTGAAGTCAGGGTACGAGTTCACCTCCAAGAGCTTGACGGACAAATCTTCGTTCACCAAAAAGTCAACCCCAAATATCTCGACGGCATTCGCCATCGGCTGGAAATTGATTTTGTCCACCGATGATGCAGCAGCGAAAAGCTGCCCGGTGATTTCTTTCACCTGCTCGAAGACACCGGTCTTTTGGGACACATCAAGCCCCATCAAATCCCAGAAGCTCACCACGAGAGGATCCTTCCCCTCCTGGAGGCATGTGTTCGTCAAATGGCCCGCAAGGTCGATCATTGGGTCATCGGACTTTTCCCCGGGGTTTTCGTACGCGGCGTCAGCAAACAATGCTAAGATCTGCTCGTAAACGAAAACTTTCAAGTCCCCAGCGCCAACAACATACGTGCGGAGATGGAATTTCTTCGACCCGTATTCTTGTAGAAGCAACGGTTTGTCCTGGTACTCTTGCACAATGAAATGGCGGAGCTGAGATATGATGACTCCGTTGTTTTGCTCGTCGTGAAGCTCATCCTCTTCGTCATCAGAGTCGCGCCCTTCTTCAAAAGAGTCGAAAATGGCCTGAAGCTGCTCCAAAGTCCTGAAGACACGTATGCCCTGTCCCTTGTCGCTCATGCTGGGCTTGAGAATCCAGGTCTTGTCGCCTTGCTCGACTTCCTCTCTGAGCTCGTAGGCGTCATCTAGCGAGTCGTCCAAGAACTCGGCGTAGTCCACCTCAAGTTGATACGTCGGGGGCACCGCATCGACGAGGATGGACTGCGGGTTCTTGACCACGAAGTGATGTATGGTGTTTGCCAAATAGTGTTTCCGGATCAACGCCTTCCGGTAAATATAGGATGGCGTGAAATACTGCGAAGGATGGGTCTGGATCAAGTCGAGGTCGAGGTCTTCGTACTCGCCATAGTGAAACACCTTGACCCGAGCATTCTGCGGGATCTGTTTCAAGACCAGAACGTCCGTCGTGACCTGGACGTCTAGCTTTTTGTAGGCTTCAGAGAGGGGCTGGAAGATGTAGGCGTCCTCCCCCGCTGTAATCAACACGAACGACGTGGTTGCGCCATTTGCCGCACCACTGACAGGCTTGGCCCTGTGTGACGGGGCCAAAACGATTTCGCCTTCGAGAGGCTGCACGGCTTTGAAGGTGGCCTGGAGCGGCGTCACGCTGATGCCGTCGTCGTGCAAAACACGGCTATCTGAATGCGTGAGATCGTCGAGGGACTCGTCCCACACCTGCTGGAACTTGGGTGCCCATGCGTACTTGCCGTCGCCCTGGTGCTCGTAGATAGAGGCCCACTTGTTGCTGAGGATGGGCGCATACTTGATTTTGGACTTTCCAAGCTCGAGCGAGGGCACGAGGGGGACGTTGACCGAGAACAAGTCGATTTGGCTCCGAGCCTGCATCTCCTCGTACAAGTGCTCCACCAACCGCACAGATATTCTGCTTGCTTCCTTGAGGGTGTGGAAGTCATGCTGCAAGCTACGGAACTCGTACAGAAGTGCTATGGACTTGGTGCCGTGCGTGGCGGCCTCCATAGCCGCGCCCACGGTGCCACTGGCCAAGATGTACAAATCGCCGGAGTTTTTCCCGAAGTTGGGCCCGCTGATCACCAAGTCGACCGGCCCCGCTTCTGGCAAATGATGTAAGCCGATATCCGCACACGCGGCCGGCGTGCTGTCAATCAAGTGCCACTCCTGGAACCCTGCACGGATGAGCTCATGCTGACGGGTATCGAACGGACCATCATACTTGTTTATGTCTGTGCTGGGCTCGGAGGTGCTGTCCCTGGTGTAGACGTAGGTTGTGGTGAGGCGTTTGCCGGCAAAATGGGCCTTGCCGATCCACGACCGCTGCTGGTCGGGCACTACGATCAGGACCTTCCAGTCGGTGGAGCGGCAGATCTCATCGACGAAATATTTCATGTACGGGCAGCTCTTGTCGTCCAAGGGCCCATCGTCGTTTGTCAAAAGAACATGCATGGTGGGAGCAGAAGCCTAAGGTCGTTGCGGGGCGTCGAGCGAAATCCTCTTGTTGCAGAGTCGAGCAGTGCTTATTGCCTTTTTACTTTGGACCGCGCTGCGGCCGCGCCCGCCTCTCGCGGCAAGATCTTTATAGTGATGGAGTGCTGAAGATGCCGAGTGCAAAAAAATGGGAACAGGCTTTTACTTGACGGCCAACTAGGAACATTCTGAGAGACTGAAGGGAGCCGGTGCCGGAATTTATAATTCTGTGGGAAAGCGTAGATATACAATGGGTGCTTACTATATGATGGGTGCTCACTATATGATGGGTACTCACTATATAGTAGGTGCTCACTATATAGTAGGGTAGGTACTCACTATATAATGGGTGCTCACTATATAGTGGGTGCTCACTATATGATGGGTGCTCACTATAGTAGGTGCTCACTATATAGTGGGTGCTCACTATATGATGGGTGCTCACTATAGTAGGTGCTCACTATATAGTAGGTGCTCATTATATAATAGGTACTCACTATAAAATGGGCGTTCACCATATAATGGGTGCTCACTATAAAATGGGTGCTTACTATATAATGGGTGCTCACTATAAAATGGGTGCTCACTTGTCCTGTGCGAGGCTCTCAATATAGGGGATCGTCGATGTCGGAGCAAAACTGCACAATCACCAGGATGCATTGGCGCTATTGACCGTCTTGTTGTGTATCTCCAGGAATACGCTTCACGTCTTTTCTTGGCCCTGTGCTAGCTTCATGATATCCTAAACGGGACTGTAGCTCCAGCGGCCAGGTAATACGCATACTCAGGCCGCATGTATTTAGCCTGGTGCCGGGTTCAGAGGGCACTCCACCAGCATCCTGTGCACGTGCTTTTTTTTTGTGGGCCCGTTCCGTTTAATGTAACCAATGAACAAGAATAATCCAACCGGATTTCTCGGCGCATTCTAGCGGCCCATTCCTTCGGGCCTCTCTGCCCAACCCAGGCGTGGTGCGAGCTTCTGCGCGGCCCGGAAAAAGAGCCTGGAAAAACCCAGGCCCCATTCTCACCAGGATCGTAGATCTGTATCCTGACTCTTCCCCGACGAGCCCACAGCAAAAGACCCGTACGTTGTTGGAGACATGTCGTTTTTTCTCGGCAACACCGCTCAATACTCGAATGTCGAGGTGAACCCGGAGAAGGTGAAGTTGGCCGAGGTCCAGTTCACCGTCATGTCGTCCACTTTTAACAAGATGCTCTCCACGTGCCAGGAAAAGTGCATTGGCCACGAGTACGGCGAAGGAGACGTCAATACAGGCGAGGCGTCGTGCACGGACAGGTGTGTTTCCAAGTACGTCAAGGCCAATGCCATGATAGCACAGGAGGTGCAGAGCAAACTCCTCCCCAATGAGATGCCGGAGTACAAGAAGATACAGTCGATGATGGCAGACAAGCAGATATAGGCGATGATGGCAGACAAGCAGTTATAGGCGATGATTGCAGACAAGCAGTGAGCGTCTCTTTTACTTCCCCGTGGGCTGGCATGTATATATATTAGAGGCCGACGGAAGACGGCTGGATCCACAACAAATCGCACAACCTGTCGTCCTATTGAACCCATGGCTTCGCCAACGGCAGCGAGCGGAGCCCGGATCCAAGGCATTCCTACGCACGTACTCAGCAAAGCTTCGTTTAATCTGTTTTTCTGTACATTACTTCATTGCGCAGGGCCGCGGGGCGCCAGCACGATACATAAAGCTTACAACTGGTTCTTGGTGTGGAAGATGTCCAAGGCCTCGGTGATTCTGGCGGACATGGTCTTCTCGCCCTCTCTGACCCAGACTCTAGGGTCGAAGTACTTCTTGTTTGGCTTGTCCTCGCCGTCTGGGTTGCCGACCTGGCTCATCAAGTAGTCCTTCTTGTTCAACACGTAGTCACGGATACCGGCGAGGTAGGCGTACTGGCAGTCCGTGTCCAAGTTGACCTTGACGACACCGTTCTTGATGGCAACGTCAAACTCCTTCTGGGTGGAGCCGGAGCCACCGTGGAAGACCAAGTACAATGGGTGCTTGTTGTCGGTGCCGATCTGCTCCTTGGCGTACTGCTGGTGCTCGCCCAAGATGGAGGGTCTCAACACAACGTTACCTGGCTTGTACACACCGTGCACGTTGCCGAAGGCCGCGGCAATGGAGAAGTTGGGGGAGATCGGGGCCAAGGCCTTGTGCACCGCGAAAACCGTCTCGGGCTGCGTGTACAAGGACTCCTTGTCGACGTCCTCGTTGTTGACACCGTCCTCCTCGCCGCCGGTGATACCAATCTCCATCTCCAACCACTGGTTCATGCGCGCCATTCTGGAGAAGTACTTGACACAGGTGGCAATGTTCTCGTCGTCGGTCTCCTCCGACAAGTCCAACATGTGCGAGGAGAACAAGGGGGTGCCGTGGGAGGCGAAGAAGTCCTCGTCGGCCTTCAACATGCCGTCGAACCATGGCAACAACTTGGCGGCACAGTGGTCCGTGTGCAAAATCACGGGCACGCCGTAGGATGGCGCAATGGCTCTGATGTAGTGGGCGGCGGCAATGGAGCCGGCAATGGACGCGTTCTGGTCCGTGTTGGAAACACCCTTACCGGCAAAGTACGCGGCACCACCCTGCGAGGTTTGCAAAATGATGGGCGACTTGCTGTCACGGGCCGCCTCTAAAGAAGAAACGACAGTGGAGGACGAGGTGACGTTGATGGCTGGGATAGCAAAGCCTTTTTGTTGGGCGTAGTCGAACAACTTCTTGACGTCGTCGCCGTAGATGACACCGGATTTCTGCAAAACTTCAGCCATTGTGATTATGTGTGGGATGTGATTGTGATTCTGAGGATCGGAAAAAAATGAGAGGTGGGGCTCGTCGAGAAAGGGCTCTTATATATGGGAGGAGCACTCCCCTCCGGGGCCCACTTGGAGAATCAGCAACGGCGCGGCGCGACATTTCCTTGCACCGCCGGCGCGACATTTCCCTCCACCACATGGCGACATTTCCTTCCACCACATGGCGACATGTGCTCCGCTCCGAGCTGCGACAAAGGAAGCAATTCACTAAGGCCCAGGCCGGCTGTGCGGGGCACGTGCTCCGCCCGTGGGGCTCCATGGCCCGGGCTTTTGTCGTTTTTCCTGCCGATTTCTGTGTGGGTTTTTCTATTTCTTTTTCCCCAGGTCATTACTTGCGCAGGCCCCAGAGATGGCCCGACGCTCTTACAGAATGTCGCCTTCTTTTCCAAGCCATGCAGCCCTGACGTCGCGGTGCTTGGGAGCAAGTCCACGAGCTCGAATATTCAGGAGCCCCGAATCCCAGATGATCGCACAGCAAGCACCGGTTGACCCGCGGCGTCTGATGTGGGATTTCTAGTAAATACCATCGCCCGCCATGCTGTTTTTTCGTTGCTGCCGGAAACAGGCGCTGGCGGCGGGTTTTGGTGTTATTAGCTCGAGGGCTCGCCCGCACGTCTCAGGCCCGAGCAGCCATCTAGGCGCATATTTTTTCTCGCGCCAGTCTAATCTTTCTCCATTCATTGGCCGAGCTTACATCATAGTGCGCCGGGCCCAACCTAAATTGGCCCGGGGCTTCGCTGAAGTCCGGGCAGCAAAGCAGCAAGCCCCACCTAGGAAATGGTAAAAAAAAAAAAAACAATAATCACAGGCCGCAAGAGGGGCGGTTCCGCACCCTGACGTGTTTCGATTGCTGGGCCACTGATAAGTCCATGACAGGATCAGCGTGGCTCTCCGACCGGGTCCTTCCAGACATACGTGGCCACATGAGCAATCTTTTTTTTTTTTGTTTTATTATCTTTTGTGGTTGTTCGTGGCTCCCCGGAATCACCGTACTCGTATTCTCGTATGTTGCGGCAGGCGAGAGTTTGCTGTGCCGGGCCCACAGAACCCGGCACCACTGAGACATTCTGTCTCGGCCCTTTAACGCATAGTCGGTGCGAGGCATGTAAGTGAGAGAGACAAGAGAGGCGACACGGGCAGTAAACGGGGATAACGGAGACGGGGACAAGGCAGAAGGCAATATGGAACTAACAAAAAGACTAGTGACGGAAAAAAAGCGTACCGACGGATGAATGGTGGTGACAAGATGGATGGTTGGTAATGGCAAATTAATACACGAATGAATAATGGTAATGGCAAATGGAAAATGGTAATAACAAATGAATACACGAATTGAATATGGTAATGACAAATGAATACACACGAAAATAATGGTGAATGATGCCGAAATGAATACACACGAAACGAATAATGGTAATAACAAATGAATACACGAAATGAATAATGGTAAGGACAAAATAGTAAACACGAAATGAATAATGGTAAGGACAAAATAGTAAACACGAAAGTAATAATGGCAATGACAAATTAATCCACACGAAAGAATGGTAAATACTGACAGAACGAATAAAAGATAATGACGAAATTTAGATTGGCGATACCCACACGTGAATGCAAGATACCGACAAATGAGTTCCAAACATAGCCAGAACACACTCCAAGCACCCTCGAATAAATTCCAGATCTACCCAAAACACTATCCAAACACCCCCAAATGAGTTCCAAACATAGTCAAACACACTCCAAACACCCTCGAATAAATTCCAGATCTACCCAAAACACTATCCAAACACCCCCAAAAAAGAACCAGATATAGTCAAACACACTCCAAACACCCTCTAACAAGCGCCAAACACAGACACAATATGTTCCATATACAGACATATCATCAACAAGGCACGTGCCAAATACGGACGGCACTCCAGAAAAACTCCGGGGCCAGTTTCCCAGCGTGCGCTGCCGGGCCCCACCTGTACCGTAGCTTCCTGGGGCTCTGCACCAAGTGCGCCGCGTCCAGACCAAAGGTGCCCTCGCGGCCCGGCCCATACAGTAGACAGCTTGGAACACCACCAACCCCACACCTGCCGTGCCTCCACATCGCGTCTCATGCTGGCCGCCGTAGATTTCATAGAAGACGGCTTCCGTTTCTACTCGTTCGACCCTGCGTCTGCCCCGCAGTTCCAGGCCATTGCGCGGTTGATCGATGTGCACCTCTCGGAGCCCTACTCTTTGTACGTCTACTGGTATTTTTTCCACGAGTGGCCGCAGTACTGCTTTCTTGTCAGCACTGTAGGCTCGCTGGACATCGTGGGGGTGGTCATTTCCAAGGTGGAGCCCCACCGCGCAGTGCGGGTGAGAGGCTACATCGGCATGCTTGTCATCGACCCTGCGTTCCGGGGCCAGGGCTTGGCCAAGAAACTCGTGCAGTTGAGTATCCGCAAGATGGTCGAGTGGGACCACGTGGACGAGATCATGCTCGAGACGGAGGTGGACAACCTGGCCGCGTTGCATTTGTATGAGCTGTTTGGTTTTTTGCGCACCAAGAGAATGCATCGGTACTATCTCAACGGCAGCGACGCCTTCAGACTCATCCTCCCTGTTCTCGAGAAACTGGGCACGCGCATTGCGTTCCTTGCGCCTCTAGATACTTCCGGCAAGCCGGGGTCTGCGTGCGCTGTGGATTCCGCACGGTGTTAGTGAAGGATTCCGCCCGGACTTGAGGATTCTGCATGGCGCAGGTTGCCGATGCCGGGATGCCGTGGCGGCGGTGCCAGGCGGGTGGACTATGGGGATGGGCTGTGCGAGACAAAGACGTACAGGGCATGTAGATGGCAACGATAGAACAAGTCCAGCCGGCCCTCTAATGACTCTGCAGAACCCAGCGTTGCGAATGAATCACTTCATTGGAACTTGCCAGCCCATTCGTCCAGCCAACCCATCAGCCTGCGAACGCATTAGCCAATCCATTTGAGCCAGCGTAGCAGCAAATTCAAATTCACCCGTGGTACCATGTAAACGGGGGAGGCTCAACCCTGAGGCAAAAGCCGTTTCACCAATAGCTGCCACACTAGGATCAACCGATGAGATAGGCTTACCAAATAGAAGCGAGCATATAGAAGCGAAAGATGTCGTGCAACCAATCCGGCCACGCAAGGCCAAAACGTACGTGAACAGACCAAGTGACCCATACTAGGGTCTGCCACCATCAGAGACGGATGCATGCAGTTAATTCATATAATCAAGAAGCCCACACCAAATTGCAGCCTTCGAAAAACAAATTGTCGAATCAAGCAGGTAAATGTATTGTACATCTGAGTAGCCCACCGAGCTCAACAAATTGGAATGGAGTCGAAAATGATGAATGAAAAAAACCGAGTCATGCAACCAATAGAGACACACCTAATGAAACAATATTCAAGCAAATCAAATGAATAGATTACACTTCTAAATCAAATGACCAACTCGGATGGAACCAAACATACCCATTAACTGAGTCGCGCAGGTACCCAAGCCACACCAAATTAGATAGCCCTGAGCAAACTAAATCAATATGGCACATCCTAGTACGTACACAGAACTCAACAAAGAACTTAATTAGACCAACTCAAATGGAATTGAACATAAAAATACATAAAAAATCTGAGCCATGCATGTTTTCAAGTCACACCTATAAAACAGCCCGTGAAAGACAAAAAGCCGAGCAAACCAACTAAATATATTCTACATTTGAGTAGCCACACAGAACTCAATAAAGAATTGAATTAGACTAATTCGAATGGAGTCGAACAAATTAAAAGAACTGAGGCATGTAACAAATTAAGCCACACCAGATTACAGGCCTTAAAAAAACTGTCGAGTTAAGCAAATAAATGTATCGCACATCTGAGTAGCCAACAGAGCTCAACAAAGAAATTAGACCAATTCAAATGGAATCGAACATGGCGAATAAATAGACCGAGTCATGCATCAAATCAAGCCACGCCAAATAAAACAATAGCCCAGCAAACCAAATAAATAGATTACACTCCTGAACGAAATGACCAACTCGGATGGAACCAAGCATACCCTAATAACTGAGTCGCGCAGGGACCCAAGCCACACCAAATTAGAGCAAACTAAATCAATATAGTACATCTTAGTAACTACACAGATCCCGACAAAGAATTAAGTTAGATTAATTCGAT